CAAGGATATTGTGGGGAGTGCTTATTACATCGCACCTGAGGTTTTGAAAAGGAAGTATGGACCAGAGGCCGATATATGGAGTATTGGTGTCATGTTGTATATCCTCTTATGTGGTGTCCCACCATTCTGGGCTGGTAAAGATATTCCACAGTTTCTTCTTTCTGTCTTCCAAAATCTAGAGATTTTTCTATGTATTCATGTCTTGTGTAATTACCTGATCACAGAGTCGGAGAACGGGATATTCAACGCCATCCTTAGGGGACATGTTGATTTCTCAAGTGATCCATGGCCATCTATCTCGCCTCAGGCGAAGGATCTTGTTAAGAAGATGCTCAACTCTGATCCCAAGCAAAGATTAACTGCTGCCCAAGTTCTCAGTAAGCATCTACACATATACCAAAAATGTCAAAAGCATAACAATATTTAATCTCTAATGTTGTTATCTTCCTTTGTAAAGACCATCCGTGGATCAAGGAGGATGGAGAGGCACCAGATGTTCCTCTTGACAATGCGGTGATGTCAAGGCTCAAGCAGTTCAAAGCTATGAACAATTTCAAGAAAGTTGCATTACGGGTAACAATCATATATCCCTTATCCAATAGAATATGACTCTCAGTAGAGAATTCTAACCTCAAAACCTGAAACCATTATGCAGGTGATAGCAGGCTGCTTATCGGAGGAAGAGATCATGGGGTTGAAGGAGATGTTTAAAGGTATGGACACTGATAGCAGTGGAACAATTACACTCGAGGAGTTACGACAGGGACTTGCTAAGCAAGGTACAAGGTTGTCAGAATATGAAGTTCAGCAGTTAATGGAAGCTGTGAGTCCTTGTACTTGCTAGAGTTATATAGCTTTAGTCAAATGCCGAGCAACAGGGTAGGGGACTCGCCACTAATTTTCTGTTATTTGCTCTGCATATCATGCGATTCTACAGGCTGATGCTGATGGTAATGGAACAATAGACTATGGTGAGTTTATCGCAGCAACAATGCATATCAACAGACTTGATAGAGAAGAACATCTTTACTCAGCCTTCCAACACTTTGACAAAGACAACAGTGGGTAAGTACTTAACAGTTTGTTATATAACTGATTCCAGACTTTAATCATGAATATGAAGCTTCTTATGAAACAAAAATTCACCTCAAATAATGCTCTCTGTTCCTAGATATATCACAATGGAAGAGCTGGAGCAAGCCCTCCGGGAGTTTGGCATGAATGATGGCAGAGACATTAAGGAGATCATTTCCGAGGTTGATGGAGACAATGTAAGAAACAGTAGTCCCTTCAAATGTAACAAGCAGCTAACAATCTTACTATCACCAACCTATTTTCTAATGAAAAAAAAACGGGTTTTGCAGGATGGTCGGATAAACTATGATGAATTTGTGGCAATGATGAGAAAAGGAAACCCGGATCCAATCCCAAAGAAGCGGCGTGAACTTTCATTCAAATGAACAAATTGTTGAAGTAGAGGAAGAGAGGAGATAGAAAGAGAGTTACACACAGGGGTCGAGAAACTCATCTTCCTTTTCACAATGAGAGATAAGGCAAAGCAAATATCAAAAAAGTATATGCTCGGATCGCTAATGATTGAACTGGAGGAGATCTTTAAGGGAGGAGAAGGATCAAGAAGAGATCATTAACTAGGGATTTGGGGGGAGGTGTTTGAATTATGTATATTTTCTTTTCTGGTTTGTCTACTACTGCTTAAAGTGCCATGGGTTTCTCAATGTACTTAAAATTCTTCTTTTTCAATTCTCTTGTATGTGTTAGTGATGATTATTCCTTCTTACTTACTTCCTAGCAACACACTCAACACCACTTTCCAAAAATTGCATCAAAAATTGTAACAAAAGATGTATTTTTCATTGCTTGGTCGATGTAAATGACAAAAGAGCAAACCATACATAACCAAATTCATATAGATAAAAGAAAGTTTCACATCTCCCCCAATTTAAAAACCCTAATTTGCAGCAGTAACAGTCGAATCGAGGACAATTACTTATCTTTGGTAGAGACTCCATACTTCTCCTGCAACTTGGTGATCTCATCTTCACTCTTCTTCTGGTCAAACTTCTTGCTCATCTTCGCGTGCTGGTAATACAACACGATTAGGTACCGATTCGCGACGTTGAAGCCAGAGAGATGGTCGACGGCGTTCTTGGCGTCGTAGATATCCTCGTAAACGACGAAGGCCGTACCTTTCGTCGCCTTGTCGCAACCGATTCGAATCTGGCGAATCGCGCCGTACTTGCCGAAGATATCGTACATCTCCTCGCTCGTTATGTTAAAGGGAAGGTTACGAACGTAGAGCACGCGATTCACTTCCGGTGGGAGTCTGGTGTTACTTTTGCGAAGACTGATTGTTGTCATAGCTTCTCTTCTTCTTCTTCTCCTTCCTTTAGCCGGAGATTTCTTATCGCCGCCGTGAAAAAGTATTTCTATCGGAAATCGGAAATGAAAATTATAATCTGATTTCGGCAGATGCGAGTATTCATAGGGTGGAAGAATTAAAGGGTAAAACCGTCTTTTCACATGCAGGCTTGGGGATTTCTATTGACGGTTTTATGTAAACCATTAAAACCAAAAATAATTTACCAAACCGATATCAATCTCTGGTTTGATGGCAGGATTTTGTGCTATTCATGTAAAAGAGTTTAAACATGACTGTGGTACATATGAAAGATGTTGATTTGTAAGATAACATAGACAAAGCTCCCCTCATATTGAATAGAGAATATATTAATAAAACTAGAAATGTTGTATTTACTATATGAAAGATGAAGAAATCTCTCCTACTTCTAACATGTCAGGATCTAAGAAGTGTCACTGTGTTTTTGATAATTTTAATTACAAAATTAAACAAACCTCTTGGACTCTCTTCCTATCTTTAGGGTTTCTATTCCGAAATCTAGCCATCGTTCATGGTTCCTATAACTTGCTAAACATGACCCAAATGTTGGAAGAAAAATTCTGATAGAGAAAAAGTGTTTAAATTTGGGAGAAGATATAAAGAATTTAGAAATATAAGATTTTGATTTTTAGATTTCAACTTGGTTACAAATGAAAGGAAAATAAGGTATTTATAGCTTCCAAAACTAAACTATCCAACATATTTTACTCCTAAATCTAGACTGTTTCGTAAATAAAACATAAATAAGGGTGTTTTTTGTACGAATTTTTTTTTTTTGGTTGGAAATGATTTGTGACATTTGTATTTGACATTTGCATTTTTCACGATTAGCTGACCAGTTATTTATTTAATAAGGTATAATTGTTTCTAAGAAAAGTATCAATTTTCTTTTGTTTATTCAATCATTTGCCTAATTTTATTTGTTTTATTTATTACAGATGAAGAGAGGTTTGCAACCGTTGTAGTGGATGGCGATTGTTCTTTATAGGAATTCCAAGGGGAATGTTTACACAAATAGTCAATAGACAACCACTTATCTTCGTAGGATGCAAATTGGCGTGTTTGTTTAAAGGCGAATAGGAAAGAGTTTGCAGACGCCGTTAGACAACTTCTCAAGTGGGTGAACCAAATATATCAACAAACAGTCCATGATGCTTCACTTTCGAGAGATGTCAGCTATCATGAGAGGTTGTCAATAGAAATGATGAAGCCTATAGTTGACATTGAGGTGCAAGATTGGAGGAAAATGAATCCAGACGAGTGATACTCATGCTAGATGTATGTTAAATTGACTTAAGTCTATCTGTTTATGGATTGCTAGTACCACCTCTTTTCTTTTAATATTATGTGATACTCATGTTTAATGTTTAAGCTCTTTTAGTTTATTTAAATCAGAAAAACATTTTACAGATCAATGGGGATTATGTGAAGTGTGTACATTTTCTATTACGTTTGTTTGTCTATTACTGCTTCAAGTGCCATGAGTTTCTCAATGTACTTAAATTCCTACTGTTTATCTTGTATGTGTTAGTGATTTTTTGTTCTTACTCACGTCCTAGCAAAACAGTTGACACCAATCTAGAAAATATACAAAGCTAAAACAATGACAAAGGCAATGTGAACCAAAACCAAATCGACCACCAAATCAAATTATATTTATATAGAAAATTCAGAAATACACGTATATAAAAAGTCATTCCACGAATTCTCTTTAGATTATATAAGAGTAAGATTTAATTCAGAAAGTTTTAAGAAAATTGTAAATATATATATTTTAAAAAATAATCAAGTTATTTTAATAACATCTAGACGATGTATTTCAAATTTTCAAGTAAACATAGTACTGTATTTTTTGTTGTTGTTGTTGAAATAGATTAGTCTAACCCAAGTAGATAATTTCATTAGTTTTTTATCCAAGAATTTGAGATATTTCGGATATAGAGTATAAAAATAGGGCTTGACAGCAGTGCGATTCCCTTGTTTACTTATGACCAAAGATGTTTATAAAATGTTTTTGGATGCGTATATAACTGCGAGCCTTTATGATTAGTTTGGTAAATTAACTATATCGATTGGAGAAAACATGAATATGCATGTTTTTCCCGAATTAAAAAGTCATGAGGCAGTTAATGTTTGAAAGATACAATATCAAATTATTGATCGAAACATGTAAAAACCAAATGATTTTACCAGTATCATCTTTTTGTTATAATTGATATTTGAATTTCGTAATGTGTGTGTGAGATATAAATTCCTAAATGATAAATAAATAAGTTTGGCTAATATCTTCACTCTAAAATATTACAAAACCATACATACGTGATACGTCATCGTGAACATATGTTTGTTTGAGCGAATTTAAATGCCTGGGACCAAGAAACATGAAACAATGCTAATTATGTAGGTCTAATAAATAAGTATTGTGGGCTGCAGACATTATAAGCCCAATTAGCATAAAAGCCCATCTGAAAACAGGAAACACGAGTTTCGATGATAATGCCAATCCTGGGGTTTCCCTCCAGTTGATACGACGATCTTTTTCCTTTCCTCTGTATTGTCGATTCTCAAGCGTTAGCTCTATAAGAAGTCGTTCGCTCTCCGCTTCTTCTCGACGTCACGGCGAAACTGTTCCTACCCGGCAGAGGTACGGTGTTTCTTATCTCTCTTCGAAACCCCTAAGTCTTCAGTCATTCGATTCCTCTTCTTCTTTTTTTTTTCTATCAATTTCGTTCTCTTCATGGTTTTTCCTAATTTATCCCTGCTTTGATCAACTTATTTTCAGTAGATTTTATAGTGTCTTGTTGGGGTGATTCCAACAATCTGACTTTTTTTGTTCTGTTGTTTGTAGGAAAAAAAAATGTTGCAGAATGATGTAAAATTCTTGCAGCCACCTCCAGAAATCAGGAAAATTGTGAAAAAAACGGCACGTTTGGTTGCACAAAAGGGTTTGGAGTTTGAGGAGAGGATCATGTCCACTTATATGAATCATGCAAATTTCAGCTTTTTGAGGAGCTCAGACCCTTTTCACTCCTTTTACCAGTACATGCTTGCTAAATATCGCCCTCCTGAAAGACCAAGTTTTATGGGTTGTTCTTTTGATGGATATTTTTCATATCCTCCTGGGCTCTCACTCAAGGAGCTTGGTATTATTAAGCTCACGGCTCAGTTTGTGGTGCGTTATGGTCCGGATTTTCTGTTGCCTTTCATGAAGACAGTGGATAAGAACCCTCTGTTTGACTTTTTGAAGCCTACCGATACAAGGTTACTTTTTTATGTGGGGCTTGTTAAAGCGTATGCTCAAGTATTGAGGAGTACTTTTGATTGTATGGAGACCGTTCTTCAGAAGTTCTTACACCATCTTCAATTGGAAAAGCTGGAGGAGGGAGTGGATATTGCTTTGATTGATTTGCTTGCTTTTACGTCTGGTGTTGACTGTTTTACTTACATGGAGGATGATTACTATCCTATTTCCATGCCACCACCTGATCCCCTTTCCCTCGTTTTAAAGAGCCGTGGTATGCTTGACGACCGTGGTATGCTTGTGCGTACCGATTACCATGGAGCTCAGTCAATCCACCCTGATGCTCCAGCTGCTAAACCTTCTCTTGAGTTTTCTTTTCTGGGTCCGCCTCCAACACCACTTTCCCCTGCATGGATCACACTCAAGGAGCTTGGTTATATCAAACTCACTGCCATGTTTGCCGCGCGGTATGGGATGGATTTGTTGAAGGATGTGGTTTCGTCAATGTTTAAGTTTATGAATCCAACTCATAGCTGGTTCTATCTTTTCAATCTGCTTGTTGATGCGTATTCCAGAGTAATAAGAAGGCCGTTGGGAGAGCCAAAGAATCGTGGCCATTCCGTTGTTGAATGTTTCTCCGTCCATCTTCAAGTCGCCGATCTGTGGGACGGAGTGGATAAGGGTATGATTGATCTGCATGCCTTTGTGGGTGGTGTTGACTGTTTTGCTCACATGGAGGATGAAGAGTATTCTGATAGGTTGCCACCACCTGTACACCTTTCAGTGTTGATGAATCAGCTCAAACAAATGCAGCCTCCACTGGGATCTCAGCTTACTGAATACCGTCCTCACAGTCAAGATGGACCTCAGGATATCCAGCCTGATGCTCCAGCTACACAACTTGACCTTGTTCCTCTAAGGGATCCACCTCTAGAACCTCGCAATCGTGCTTTTACATTACCTGCGGGGATCACACTCAAGGAGCTCGGTATTATTAAGTTCACAGCGCTGTTTGTGGCGCGGTATGGGGAGGTGTTCAGGCAGAGACTGGTTACGCACCCTCAGTTTGAGTTTTTGAAGCCAACTGATGGCAGGTTCTGTTTTTTTTTCGATAGGCTTGTTCACGCGTATTCCAGAGTACTAAGGCTTTCCAAAAAGATGAGGAAGAATGATTTTTGTCAGGAGACCGTTCTTAACACTTTTTTCCACCGCCTTCAACTGGAGAAGCTGGACAAGGGAGTGGAGATGGCTATGATTGATTTGCATGCTTTTGTGGATGGTGTTGACTGTTTTGCTCGCATGGAGGATGAAGAGTATGCTGCTAACCTGCCACCTCCTGAACACCTTTCAATGTTGATGAAGCAACTAAAACACCTGCAGCCTCCACTGGGATCTCAGCCTCTAAGACCTCACGATACTGCATCTACAAATACTGCATTGATCTCACTCAAGAAGATTGGTATTTGTATGCTCGCTGCGCAGTTTGTAGCGCGGTATGGGATGGATTTGATGGAGATAGTTGTTGCAAACCCTCAGTTTGAGTTTATGGAGCCAACTAACTCAAGGTTCTATTTCTTCAATAAGCTTGTTGATGCTTATTCCGGGATTTTAAAGCCTTCCAGAAAGCTGAAAAAGAGTGATGCTTTTGGGGCGACCGTTGTTGAATGTTTTTTCAACCGTCTTCAATTAGACAAGCTGGAAGAGGGAGTGGAGATGGCTGTGATTGATTTGCATGCTTTTGTGGGTGGTGTTGACTATTTTACTGTCACATGTGGTGGTGAGAATCCTGCCGCCATGCCAGCACAGAAAAGCCTTTCAAAGTTGATGACACGGATGCGGCCTGGTATGCTTGTGGATCCTCCACTGGGATCTCAGCTTACTGAATACCGTGCTCAGAAACAAGATGGAGCTACTGACGAGTGTTACCGTCATGAGCCTCCTCCTTCAATGGATCCGCCTCGAAGCTCTCTTTGCCGTCTTTCATATACATTACCTGATGGGATCATCACACTCAAGGAGATTGGTATTTTGAAGCTAACGGCGCAGTTTGTGGTGAGGTATGGGATGGATTTGATGAGGAGAGTGGTTAGTTTCCCTCATTTTGTGTTTATGGAGCCAACTAATAGCTGGTTCCCTTTCTTCAATAAGCTTGTTGATGAGTATTCCAGAGTATTAAAGCCTTCCGGAAAGCAGGGGAAGAGTAAGTTTGATAAGCATGCTGGAGGAGTTATTGATTGTTTTCTCCACCGTCTGCAATTGGACAAGCTGGAGGAGGGATTGGAGATGGCTATGGTTGATTTGCATGCTTTCGTGAGTGGTGTTGACTATTTTATTTTCATGGAGGATGATTATAATGAAACGGAGGATGAAGAGTGTTATGATCACTCGCCACCACCTGAACACTTTTCAATGTTGATGAACCGTATAACCCAAATGCAGCCTGGTATAACCCAAATGCAGCCTGGTATGCTTGTGGGATCTCAGCGTACTGAAGACTGTGGAGCTCAGAGTATCCACCCTGATGCTCCAGCTACTCATGAGTGTGTAGGTGATGCACAACCCGATCTTGAGTGTACTCCTCCAAGACCCCTTCACAGTCTTGCGTTGGCATTTCCTGCATATCTCGCAGTCAAGGGGTTTATGACAGTCAAGGAGCTTGGTACTATGAAGCTCACAGCTCAGTTTGTGGCGAGGTATGGCATGGATTCGATGAAAGAAGTGGCCGCGTACCCTCGGTTTGAGTTTATGGTGCCAACTCATCGCTTTTTCCGTTTGTTCAATGAGCTTGTTGATGCGTATTCCAGAGTATTAGAGCCTTCTAAAAAGCTGTGGAAGAAGGAGACGTCCGTTGTTGACCTTTTTTTCTACCGTCTTCAGTTTGTCGAGCTGGAGGATGGAGTGGAGATGGCTATGATTGATTTGCATGCTTCTGTGTCCGGTGTTGACTGTTTTACTCACATGGAGGAGTACATGGATGATGAAAAAGAGTATTCTGCTGGCGTGCCACAACCTGAACACCTTTCAGTGTTGATCAACCTACTAAAAAAGCAGCCTGATATACTTGTGCGGCCTTCAGCTGGTCTACTGGGATCTCAGAAAATCCAACCTGATGTGCAACGTGAGGAACCAAGGCGAAAGAGACAAAAGCATCTGAGAGAAAATCATCCGAGGCGAAAGAGACAGAAGCGTGACTGTGATGTGCAACATGAGGAAACAAGACTTCAAGCACCAAAAGCAGGAAGAAGCAATGTGGAGCTTGTTATGAAACAAAAAAATTCATCTCAAATAATAAACCGAAGTACAAAACTCAGAAGCTTGATTATTGGAAACAGTCATGTTTAAACTCAGAAGCTTCGCATGTCTCCTCTTTTTCTTCTAATACACAGAGGAATTGAGATAAAGAGAACAGAGACTAATTAACTAACTCAGGAATAACTTTTACATACTATTAGTTTTTCTCAAATCCAGACTACAATGCACATTATTCATCACAATCGCTCTTTCAATCTTTTTAATACAGAATGTTATGTACAAAATATTCATTTTTTTTGGACAAAGTACAAAATATTCTATATGCAGATACCTGCACTTTTATGTAGCTTCAGTTCTGACACGCTTAACAGGAGCTCGAAGAGAAGATAGATAATTAGCATCTGATTTCTCAATCCCATCGAAAAGGTAACTGAAAGGAGGCATCTCTATATACTTGCCACTTCCTGGAACAACTTTAAGCTCCTCATTTTCCCACACTATTCGTCCTCCTGCTATTGTCACTTCAACTTTTCCCTGAGATTTTAACAATCAAGTCCCCAAGAAATAAAAGGTTATTATTGCTCAGACATTATACAATTCAGTAAAGACGATTTGTTTTTAAAATGTGTATCCATTACCTTTCCTCTTCTGCCCTCGTAGACGTTCGTGTCGGATCTTGAATGATGAGACTTTGAGCTAATCTCGTAGCTTGAGTTTGGATTCAATATAATAATGTCTGCATCCGAGCCAGCAAGGATAGCTCCTTTCCGTGGATATATGTTGAAAATTCTAGCACTGACAAAATTAAAGTCATTTCAAATGCAAACCCATTAGAAAGAGCTCGTTAGAAAAAGCAAATTTCGCCACTAAAAAGAAGCAGCGAAAGAGCATATATACCATTCCGTGCTGGTTATTCGAACATAATCAGTAGCTGAGATTTGGCCAGACCCCTGGATTATGATACAGAAAACGATTAAAACTCTGTAAAGCTTTAAGATTATAGACAGCCCACAAGTACTTACCACCATCGTGTCCCATATCAGGTGCATCCGTTCTTCAAGGCCTATATATGAACAAGTTCTAAGTATTTACAGTTTCACAGAGACAATGATCACAGAAAGCAAGAAACCAGTCAAGCCAGTTATTACCATTAACACCATTAGGTATTTTGCGGAAATCATCAAGTCCTAGAGCTTTTTGTGTAGAATTGAAAGTGCAGTGATCAGTTCCTACAAGCTACAGAGATTACACCAATAAAAGGAGAAATAAGGTGTTAGAAGATCTTTACAATTTTATGTTATAGGTCATGTATCTCTAATTTATGCACAGTGAGGAAAGAAACCTGAAGGATTCCTGTGGAAAGGGCATCTTGTAGGGCTTTCCCATGTCCTACTGGTCTGATAGGTGGACTCATGACATACCTGAAATATTGAGAAAAACTTTGAAAATCTGAAAAAAAAAATGGAATGATTTGATTAACAGACCTGAAGGATTTCTTACTTGGACGCAATTGTGAAGTCAGGATCCCAAAGCCAATGATCATCAAGGATTAATCCAGACACAACAGGCTCTCCAATAACCTTCTGTCCTGAAGTACATAACAAAAAAGACTTTTTTTTTCTTTTTATTGAGCTAAATACAAAATAAAAATTCGAAAGGTACTTTGGAAATCAACCCATGTATTATTGCCAGTTTGCCACTAGTGGCTGTTCGGATAGAAGATTGAATAAATCAAGATAAATATTCCATACAATGAGAAAAGAATTAGTCCTACAGGAGTTGTAACAGAAGACCTGATTTTCGAGCTTTAGCAATCTCGTCCATTGCATCAACACTCATCACATGAACAACATAGAGAGGCGTGTTAACAAAACGAGCCAAACGAATTGCTCGAGCAGTGGCTTCTCCCTCGAGCTGCCATTGTCAAACAAGGATCTTGATTTTAGTAGCTTCAACAAAGGTTTACAGAGGCAATAGAAGATATAGGAGAAGAGAAAAAAAACTCTATGAGGCAGTATTAGAAAATGGAAAATGCTGGACGCAAATTACCACAGGAGGCCGGGAAAGAGCATGACCCTCTGGACCTGTAATACCCAGTTCAATCATTCTTTTCTGTCCTTCGAACACAGCATCTCCATTTTCAGCATGAACCATCGCCAAGGCACCGATGGATTTACATCTTTTAAGGCCTTCCAGGAGGAGGTCATCAGTGACCATAAGGGATCCTTTATAAGCTAGGAAGAATTTGAAAGAGTTGATACCTACAAAATTAAGAGATACATGCACTCAGTTTCATCTTAGCAGGGAAACTAAAGGGATAGAAACACCAAAACTGTGAGGCATCAATCAATGTGTCACAAGACACTTACCCTTTTCCTTGACCAATATCTCCATGTCCCTGAAAACACCTTCATCCCACTTTGTGATAGCCATATGAAAACCGTAATCCATGCAGGATTCTCTGGATTTGTTTTCATAGGCTTCAAAACCAGCCACAAGATTCCCATTGACAGGTATAACAAAGTCTATATGCATAGTTGTTCCACCAGCTAATGCTGCTGCCTGACCACTGAAGAAATCATCAATAGTCTCGGTACCCATAAACTCCATGGCGAGGTGCGTGTGGGGGTCAATTCCTCCTGTAAAAGAGGAAGATGAAATGCTACTTAAGGATTCAAAACAAAAGGATACAATTTTGGAATGAATCAACTAGTATGAATTGATTAACCTGGCATAACAAACTTTCCAGTAGCATCGAGTACAGTGACTTCATCCCCAACCTGTTACATAGCAACAAACAGATCAAATCTGGAATTTAGAATCCCACCAAAAAGGAAGGAAACATTACAAGGGAATAGTTAGACCTTAATGTTTGGCTGCACAGCAACAATAATTCCATCTTCCACATAAACATCAGCAAGTTCTTGATGGTGTGCATTCACAACTGTACCTCCTTTGATCAAAATCCTCGTCGATGAAACCCCACAAGATCCCACACCATACTCTGTCCCTGCACTACAAAACTGCAAGAACATATTCAAATCCCATCAGACAGCTCATTTTCGATTGTGGATAGCTTCTTTTTTTTTTTTTCAGAAATTAGAAATCAATCTCTAAACTTTTATCTTTTTTTTTTCTTTCTATCCAAGTTTCTTGAAAGTTACTGAATTGGATTAGCAAATAACTTAATTCTCTACTACTCGCGTAAGAACTAGATGTTATAAGTGGACGGAGCTTTCAGTGTTACTTCAAACAAATCAACGAGACAAAAGCTCCAAGGAAACTGCTATCTGGTCCTTATTACAAGGTTCAAAGACAGACCTGAGTAGTGGAATCTGAGACGGAAGGTGACGGAAACAGAAGAAATAGAGAGACGATGAAGAAGAATGCATCCAGCGCCATTGATGAAGAAGCTTCTCGTGAGTGTCTTTGCTTGATTCAGCTTCCTATCATTGTTTCCATTCTCTTTTTGTTATTGCCCGATCAATTTAAGTCAACGCAACGCAAAATCAAAATCATTTAATAAAACCGGGTAAACCGGTTTAGAATTTTCAAGGGTTTTTGCGAAATTCCAGCAGACCTGGCCGGTTCGCGGTTTCGAGAGAACCCTTTCGCTAAGGAAGAAGGAGGTTCTGATGTTAGAGAAAGATTAGATTTTTTTTTTTCCGATCTTCTTCAGTCTCCTGGAATCGTGATTTCTCTTCTGGATCCAAGCTGATGAGCTCTACGTCTTCCTCCCAGGTCACCAGTCTTCTCTCCTTTCCCTCATCTCTATTTCTTAATCCTTCTTAAAGGAGTTAATTCTAGTTTAGGTTGGTCTTTGCTTGGTCTCGTTTTTTTTTTTTTTTGCAGCATTTGGTTTTGATTTGCAAAAAGTTTCCTTTTTGATTAATCTCATACTATAGATGGGTCGATCAAGTGTTACTGATATGCCATTGAAGTGAACTAAGCTTGAAATGAGCCAAGCTAAGTCTTTTATGGTTTTGTACCAAGTTATTGAATCTGCTGTGAATATTTTATGGCAGATGGGTCAGCTCGTAGCTGACAAGCATGTACGTTACATTCTGATGGCAGAAAAGGTACCTGAAAACTGTATCGACCCCTGGCTCATTTTCTCTGTTTATGTCACTCTGATTGTATAACTTATCTTCTTCTTTTCAATTGCTTTTGAATTTTATTTAATTTGCTAGAAGAAAGAGAGTTTTGAGTCTGTGGTGATGGATCATCTAAGAATGAATGGTGCATACTGGGGACTCACCACTCTCGACTTACTCGACAAGCTAGGCTGTGTTTCTGAAGATGAAGTGGTTTCATGGCTCATGACTTGCCAGCATGAATCTGGTGAGTATTAGAGTATCAGATCAGTTCTTTTTTACTTACTGATAGAATGATGACAAAAAGGGATACATGGGTTAGGCAGTGGTGTCGTTTACAATTATGAGAAGTTAATCATTGGCTTTGATTGCTAAGTAAAAACTAGCAAAAGGATCTATGGGGACCTTTGAAGTTACTGTGGGGTTTCATATTTTGGTCCTTAATCGCTACAGTTGAAGTTGAAAACAAGTTGTTCTTTTCTGTGCAGGTGGCTTTGCCGGTAATACTGGACACGATCCACATATTCTATATACACTCAGTGCTGTACAAATCTTGGCCCTCTTTGACAAAATTAACATTCTTGACATTGGGAAAGTATCAAGTTGTATCCTTTGGCACTTAGCTTTTTGTCAATGTCACAAACTCGTTCTTCTTCACCAATAGTCATGGTGGAACTTTCATACTGTTAAATAATCGATGATGTTAAACAAGAAAGGAAAACCCTGCCTTATAGTAGATATTATAATGTTTTCCTATATACAAATTTAGATGTTGCTAAGTTGCAGAATGAAGATGGATCCTTCTCAGGAGATATGTGGGGAGAAATAGATACGAGGTTTTTTTCCTTGCCATGTATTACAAAGACATTTATATATGTGCTTGTTGGTGATATCACTATGTTGAATCTTAAGTGCAAGCTGTTTATGTAGGTTTTCGTACATAGCTATATGCTGTCTCTCAATATTGAAATGTCTTGACAAAATCAATGTGAAGAAGGCCGTTAGGTACATTGTGAGCTGCAAAAACCTGGATGGTGGTTTTGGGTGCACACCTGGAGCAGAGTCCCATGCAGGGCAGAGTATGTTATGCTATATGAGTATTTTTCTGTGTCATCTTCCCAATTGTTACTTGCAATTAGTGTTATAGATGACTTTACAGAATTAATAAGGCCAACCGCATCACTGCCATTTAACTATTCCTATGACTGGATACTCAGATGTTTATTGTTTCTGTAGTTGACGTGCTATTGCTACACCCTTATGTAAATAGTATAGGTTCATGGTAGGGTCATATGGTATAAGACGGTTATTCTTTATTTGTTTGTTCTGTTACTGCAGTTTTCTGCTGCGTGGGTGCTCTTGCTATCACTGGGAGTCTCCATCATGTTGATAAGGACTTACTTGGTTGGTGGTTATGTGAAAGACAATTAAAGGGTGGGGGCTTAAATGGACGACCTGAGAAACTCCCTGATGTAGGCATTAAGCTCCTCCCCAGTGAGAGAGACCTTTCTATACTTTCACTTGTTCTTACACATTTTTTTTATCGTTCTTAATACCAGGTTTGCTATTCTTGGTGGGTCCTATCGAGCCTAATCATGATAGATAGAGTTCACTGGATCGACAAAGCGAAGCTTGTCAAGTTCATTTTGGACTGTCAGGTTCGTCTCCAACAAGTCAAGAAAATTCATATCGTTGCTAATAAGCTAATTTTGATTGAAAACTCTCATCTCATCTATCTTAATTTGAATTTATATAGGATTTGGAAAACGGAGGCATCTCAGACCGACCAGATGATGCTGTTGATATCTTCCACACCTACTTTGGAGTTGCGGGTAACTTTCATTTGTCTCTCTTTTTAGCTCCTCTCTTGATGTGAAGCCAAAGTTGTCTTATTTCATCAAGTTGGTGCAGGGCTTTCCCTCCTTGAGTATCCTGGAGTCAAAGTAATTGATCCAGCCTATGCTTTGCCTGTTGATGTCGTCAACCGGATTATGTTCACCAAATGATTGCAATGGGTATATGATCTTAATGGTCAAACAATATGGCAGCAAGGCTCTCTATATGATTTGTTCATTGAATAGTTTACTTAGGCGGTTTTAGAAGTTATGTAGACTCAAGGAGGAGATTGCAATTTGGGTATGGGAAAGACATTAAACGAACCAAGTGGATTGGAATCAATGATTACTGTGATGATTAAGTTAGATATTCTTGGTCCATTTCCTTGATGACTTTGCAAAACTCAACAGTCTCAATGTTGTGTTGCTACATTATATGAATCACATTATTGTGTTTTTTCTCCACACTTTTCATTTCTGCTTTACTTCTTGAAAAAGTGGACTAATGTGTGTTTAGGAGTGATGGATCCATCCATACTCATAAACCGAACCAATTTTATTCAGAAATTGAACAATTTAGAGAAATTGCATAGATTAGTTCATATATCATAATTAAATAAATTTATCGACTCTTGCAAATTTATTTCTTTTTTAGAATTTACCGAAGGTTAAAGCAAAAAAATTAAAAAAAAAAAAAGTTTTAAAAAAATAAAATAAAACAAATTAAAAAAAAAAAAAAGTAAAAAGAAAATTAGGATGTCTAAACCCTAGTACGCCATTAGAGAGGGTTCAGTTCAAGTGTTCTGTTTTCTTTTCGCTTGACAAGATTGTTTGGTAAAACCCTAAAAGCTTACGAGCCGACTCATCAATGGAGGCGCTAGCGGGAATTGAAGCAGACATCGAATCGTATTTCGGAGAGCAGGATCAACAGAAATCGTCATCGGACGGCTGCAAACAGGTCCCGTGGCTGAGCTGGGAAGAGTGGGACTCAGTGAGAGAGTCTCTCTTCTCTTCTTCTCCTCATAGAATCTCTTCTGCATTGGAAAGGGTAATGCTTTTCTTCACGTTTGCTACAGAAATTGAATCAAGTTTACTGCTTTATAGACCAGAGAGCTTTAAATTAGTTGAATCAAGCTTGCTGCTTCAGACCAGAGAGCTTAATGGTTACTTTATATGTGTAAAGTAGGGATTTTTAATCTCTTTTGCTTTTTTTTCAGGTTGCAACATGGCGAAGTAGAGGATCTCTTCCAGCGCCTGTGGATGTTACTTGTTCCCTTATTGAAATTCAACTCAAAGATGGCTTTATTCCGTTAGTTTCTCTACTCTTCTCTCAAACGTTTCCATCATATTTTTGGGTGTTTATCGTTTCCTTATCTTCATTTCTTGTATTTGTGATTAAAAAAGGAGAGAGGAACAATCAGCAGATGCATTATATTCTGAGCATTTACTGCAGATGCTATATTGTATGGGAATACTCAGGTGACTATGAGTTTGCTTCCCACTTTTGATTTTTTTTTGTTTGTTTGGTTCTTGCATTTGTTGACTCATATTTTATATATGTAGGCTTGTGAACTGTGTCATAGAAAAGACAAGGAGGAGAGAAGATGTTTCAATTGCGGATGCAGCTAGAGCAATCGGTATTCCACGTAAATTAATCGATCTTCGTCATGGTAAGAATCTTTCGGGGCCTTTCCTTGGTTGTGTACAATGACTTTTCAATTCCTGCATGATGCTTATGATTAATATGATTGTTCTTATTGTAGAGGGTTCTCACCGTGAGCTCCCTGCACTCTCGGTGCTTCGGGATGCTGCAGATGAGGTACAATGTTTTCCTTCTTAATTCTGTTTGGCATTCTAGATTTCTTTATTTCAAGTATCATAGTACATGAAGGTCTGCTTTCCTGTTATTCAAAACGTTTGCTCTTAACATCTTTTTTGAAGAATCCAAAGAATCTTTTTATTGTCTTTTTAGAAAGGTGTTTTGTGTAGTGTAGTTCTTGGACGAGACAGAAGATTTTAACTTGTTTGCATACATTTGTTGGTCGTTGTAGGCACTTGAATGGTTGAAATCTTATTATTGGGAGCCACAGAAGTATCAAATTCCCTTAAAGAGAGATGGAACGGCTAGCATCAGAAGAGAAGTCAAATCCAAACTCAGGAAACTTGCTTTCTCCTTGCAGCTTAAGCATAATCCTCAGTTTGACTCCCCTTTGGTCAAAGAAAAATGTAAGACAATTTACCTTATGTATTTTGGATCTTGTCCTGGGGAAGGGCTAGTAAGTAGTAACACCAAGCAAAAAAGCAGAATGATCCCATCTGTGTCTTGCTTTACCTTGGTTTTGTATTGTCCTGAATAATGACATAACTTAAATGATACCTTGGTTTTGGCTGCGCTGGATTATGTTTCCAGCTTTAGAGATTGAGATAATTTTGGGATGTATCCTCGTGTTTAACTACGCATTTCTGTAAATTTGTATGGTCATATAAGGTTATTTTTGTGATTTTCAGGTTCTAATAAAAGGATAAGGAAGATTGTAAGCAGCCTTCTTGAGTTATACCCTTCTTTCTCCGCAGAAATTTCATCTGTGCTCCTTGAATTCTTACTCAAGGCCTTGGATTCTTCAAAGTCGACAGATCTTCAGAATAAGCCTGGGAAAGATTTCAGAGTCTTCCTAGAAGAATGGAAACCTGTAATCATGGAGCTCTCAAATAGAGAACCCGAGTTGCTTTTGACTCTACTCAAGGAAGTTCTTGATATGATCCAAAATAATGAACGGAGAAGATATGAAACCGGTAATTATTTGTTTATCCTAAATGCTTTTACTCCAAGGGTCCTCAATTGGTTATCCTAAATGCTTGTATGAATTGTTTGTTTGTTTCTAAATGTGCATCTTACAGAAAAGCCAGCGGAAGAGGTTTCTCAAGTTGAGCAGGTCCCTCTCTTGTTTGCATGGCTTGTGAGTCTTCTCAATGAGTCAAAGCATTTTCAAAGAAACAGTTCTGTAGAAGTGAAACCTCCAAGCATTTTCCTTATGGAACTTATACGTAGATGTCTTCTCTTGGGAGCCTTAGGATACGAGCTGGTTCTGAAATCAGCATTCCTACTCGCAGAGATTGTGGGAGGCCGTGTTTTAAAGGAGAAGCTCATAAAACTCCCTCTCATGCATAAAGGCTCTGCAATTGTTCCATTGGAACAGAGTTCTACTCTTGTAACAGCTCCTACAACGCTCCTTGAACAAGAGAAGAATCTCCGTAATGCAGGCAAGAGACTTGAGTTCGTCAAACTTCAACTCTCAAAGAAAAAAGGTATTGACACAGACAAAACCGGTAACAGATGGAGAAAAGCAAAAACATGGAGCCCTTGCCCAATTGGCATGTTGCCTCGGATCATTGGATCTTCTGGACGTTTACCTCTTCTTGACTATCACAATGCTCAGAGCATCTCAAAACAAGCACAAGGTAACAACAATGCCAAGAGAGGAGCTGAGTGTAATAAAAAACAATTGGAGAAATCGCCATGCAAACGAGCAAGGAAGAGTGCAGAAGATTCTGAATCAAATGATGTGACATCGGAAGCATATGAAGAAGCTGAGATGGAAATAGAACATGCATATGAGGAAACTGAAACTGTAGCAGAAGAGAATCTGATGTGGAATGATAAAGAGGAAAGCAGAAGCTGTCTTATGATAGATGGTGAATGGAAAAGAGTCAATGAAGGAGAACTATCGGGTATGGCTTCAAAAATTACAATTTGTGTTTGAGATTTCTGCAGATGTAACCATATAAATCCGTCCTTTTTTTGAGAAAATAGTTATATTTGATCAACTTTTACCAGTTAAAACATATAGCACAGACCAACTGTGGCAAAGTCGCATAAAGATTGTGACCCTAAGTAAAAGTAATAAGTGGATTGACAGTTCCTTTTTCAACAAACATCAATTGGAAGAATAAATTATTATACATGATCAGTAACATTGTGAGTAGTATTGATTTTATAGACAGAGAAGAGATGGAAGAAAACACCCCAAGACCAAAATGTTACAAATCTGATACCAAATCAATTATGATACTAATTCTTCTTCTTCATTATCACAAATTTCCCCTTTCTTCTTCAAGGAATGAATTCACCATTTTGGGCTTTTAACCTACAAAGCCAATCCCAGAAAGAAGCAAATCCTTTTGTTCAACACAACTTGAAAAATAAGAAAGTAACAAATATGTAAGCAATCCTGATTTGTGTGTTGGCTGACACTGTTCTATAATCTATCTCATTAGAAACACATCCTATCTTACCTATCTTATATGTTCTTTCGACAGGTTACCCGATTTCCACAAGATATATGTATCACGATAACTTTCTTAAGAACAAAAGAAGAATCCAATACCAATACAGAAACACATATTTCCCTTGCAAATGTTGCGTTATTTGGACTTCAGTAACATAAAGAACACAACACGAAACTCAGGTATCTGACAAAATTTGTAATGACAAACCATTTCCCTAAAAAAGGATTATGGGTTCAACTGCCCTAAAGTATAGTATCTGGACTATAACAGATGTATATGTTCTATGAAGGATCCCGGAATACCAAGAACACCGAGTAAATTGTACAAAAGAGACAGGACACTACACAGATGCTTACCTAATAAGCTGTCTACAGTGAGTTGAAAAGTGCTTCTAAACCTCTCCATGACACCTACTCGAGTGCAGAATACAAAACTGGAATGTCTACAACTTTTTTAGCCAGCAACCCTTATTGCACCCATCTCATCAAGCTTTGAGCTTTTATGCTGCAACAAGTTAAATCAAGAGCCGAATCAACGCAATTTACCAAAGACATATTACTACTTCTCTATTACCTTTCTGCATTATGGTGGAAATTTCAAGTTGAGTATCAATAAAGAACAAAAAAAATTTGAGGCACCACTTCATTACCATTACCTTGTTTTTTTTGTGCCTATGAACGTCATTAAGATCTTCATCTCCATCGTGTTTCCTTTTCTGAAATATTAGTGAAAAGGCTCCATGTGATTTCCATAGAATTAAAAAGTCAATCAAATGTTATAGTAAAAAACTGTTATAGAGCAGTCTCTAGATCTGCTAATACAAAACTTAACTCCAGAGCAACAAATACAAGACAGACAGCCAGACACCTTCAACAAACAGACATGTTCTTACCTTATCATGATGTTTCTTAGAATGATCACCCGAATCATGGTGGCCATTTTTGTCCTTCTTTCTGTCTCGGTCCTTGTCTTTATCTTTATCTTTGCTTCTATCTTTATGCTTGTGTTTATGCTTCTTATGCTCTCTATCTTTGTCCTTATCCCTGTCCCTGTGTTTCTTATGCTTCCTGTCCTTATCCTTCGACTCACTTTTTGACTTAGACGGAATTGTAGGAGCTCCCTTCTCTGCCTGAAAGAAGAAACAGGGTGGGTTCATGTTCTAGTACCAAGGTCAATCATCTCCATAGGACACCCAGATGTAATTCACCTTACTAGGGAATGATTCTCAGTTAACAAAATAACTTGATGTTACAGGAAATAGGACATTCATTACTAAGCCCAATTTTCAAGTTCAATGTAATGTCAAATTTTGATAATTGTATGAAAAAATAGTCTTATCATTAAGTAAAAACTCAAAACACCAAGAGAGAGAGAGAGAGCAGATTCTTACTGGAGGTAGTTCAACAGGAGTCATATCATTTAGTTGGAAAGACTCCTTAAGCTCATCTATATCAAAGGGTTGGATGCGAACATTAGTCTCCCGGCTCTGTGATATGCTCTCAATAAGCTGATCTAATTGCATTCCTTCTCCTTTTCTGATCTCTGTGTCCCCAACCACATTATGAAGATAATGGGAATCTGATAGAGAGACGGGAAGGGATTTCTTGCAAAAGAATTCATGGTGTTGCACTAGTTTGAATTGAGATATAAGATCCGCAGCACCACACAGCTCTCTTGGACCTGCACTTGAAACAAGCAACACATTTGACCTCAAGGTGAGCGAACGGGGAAAACAAAGGACAACGAGCTACACAAAACACTAAACGAACTGAAGAAGCACCAAATTTGAAACCAATGTACCTCCAAATTTTAAACGCTCAGGTTCCATCTTCTCTATCGCACTCTGAATATCTTTTGCATGATCACTGCATATGTATCCTACACAAGGAAAAAATGAGTGATAAGGAAATAATACTACTCCACAGAGCAAATTCAGCTTCGATACTGCCTAAACTAAAAATTTCTTAGCACAAACAATACGAAAACACAAAACTATAACTAATCACGAGCTCATATTGCATAGTGACCAAAACTAATGAAGTCTCAGCAAAACTCTGAACTTAGAAATGTAATTAAGCATTAGATGCCATCAATTCTCAAATTTTCTGCTACATCTACATAGTCCAAGCTCGAGATAATGACACTAGCATCAGAAACAAAACCCTAGAAACGACTTAAGTAATGTCGAAAGTTTGTATAAGTAAAATCAGATACCAAGTCCATACATTTTGGATCTAGTCAACAAGAAAGTTTCATCCATTGCTTCTATTTAGGAATAACTAAGAAAAAAAACAATCAGAAAAGCGAAGTAATCACTAAAAACGAAGATTAGACTCGATAGAAAGCTTCAAGCAGAAGAGATATTCGAAATTGAGGAGGAAATTGGAATTCGAAAAGAAAACAAGACAAAGCCCAGAAACAAAACCAAAATCCCAGATTCAAATTGGTAAGAAAAAGAATCGAAACAATCAACATACACGTTTCTTCGAGAAGCCAGATCTCGTTAGCTACGAAAGCAGCGAAACGTGAGGGGAAGTGGTTGGGTCTTGGGTATCCGATTTCCCGCCCAAATTTTGATTTTGCAAGTGATCAAGAAAGGACAGAGATCGAGGAAGGTTCGAGAGAGAGCGAAAAAGCGACTAGTTAGGGTTTGAGAGTCTTTTTTTTTGGTTTCTGATGTTTATGTTTTCTGAATGACCAATGAGAGGAAAATTTCTCTGTTTTCTTCCGTTGGCTTCTCAATAAATCAACAATTTTAGTCAGCCTTTTTTTTTTCAAGGGCTCCACGTGGGCTTCACGCGCTCCCTGAACACGGCCCAGTCTTCTTAACCAGACAAATTAATTCAATAACCTAAACCGTATTCGAACCGAGTAATGAATCTCTCTTTAACCGACGGTATTCAATCCAGTTATTATATTTAAAAAAAAAATCTTTAACATACAGTAAAATACATTTTGGTTACTTGATTCAAAACAAGAATTTTTTGTTCTAAGAAAACATTATATTTAATTTGTAAGACCGAAATTATCATAAAATGTAATGTGTAACTTTTGTGGGTTTTGATGAAACATACGATGATGATGCGTGTATATATTATTGGAGAAACAGTGCTTGACGAGAAGAAAATGGAATAATGGTATTTTTGGGGATTTGAGTTTGTAGACCTGCTCTTCTACAATGTAAATGATGATTTTGTCTCATGTATAGTAAATGAGTTACATGAGATATATATATTCACAAACTTGATAAATAAAAAACGTGACGAGGATAGATTGAGATAAATATGGTGTTTAATTCTTGACAAATATTGAAGGTAGATGATGCATATTGGAGAATCATATCCATATACATGATTTAGTTCTTGTGATATTGTTTCTTCTCTCTCTTGATTCATTATAAAACAACAACAGAATTTTTTTTTAGAAAGACTAAAATGGAGAGGAGGAACATTCAAGTGGGAAGTGGATTTTTTTCATGTGTGTGAGTGTAAATGTGGGTGAGGAATAACACAAAGAAAAAGGGAGTGAAGACAACATCATTTTCCCCAAAGAAAGCTAAGTCTTAGAATCATCACTCCCAATTCCCTTTTTGGCCCCTTCTTCTCTCTTTTCTATTTCTTTCTACTTTTGACCCTTCACATAATTACCATCCTCTATATGATTTATTATCACACCCTCATTACTCTCTAAACTAACCACTATAGTTAGTAAAATATTAACCACACTAATTACTACCACTTGACCAATTAATCCAGCTAAGACCTTTGGACATGATTCAACACAAAAAAAAAAACACTTAGTTAAAAATAATGATATATATACAAAACCTCTAATTTCTTCTTTATTTGTAGAAACTAGAAAGTGATGGAGAATAAGAAAGAGAGAGCAACAAACTTTTAGAGGAAGTCATAGGTTAAAAGTCCCATAGCTTTTTCTTCCATCACTTTCATTCTTCTCTTCTCATTCTTACAAACTTTGAGAGAGAATTTAAGAGATCTTGATCAGATCTTTTCTACTTGTGAAAATCGATTCTAAATCTATATCTTATAGAGAAACTCTATATATCTTGAAGATTCAGAAGAGATGGGAAATTACTACTCTAGAAGAAAATCTAGGAAACACATCACTTCTGTTGCCTTGATCATCCTTCTTCTTCTTTTGTTTTTGTTTCTTTACGCTAAAGCTTCATCATCATCTTCTCATAATATACATCATCACTCAACTCATGGAAGCTTGAAGAAACCTGGAATTTTCGATCCAAAGCTTCATGATCTTAGCTCCAATGCTGCGTCAAGAGGATCAAAATATACTAATTATGAAGGTGGTGGTGAAGATGTTTTTGAAGATGGCAAGAGAAGGGTCTTCACAGGTCCTAATCCTTTGCACAATAGATAAATTTTTGCTTTTACAAGTTTTTGTGAATTTTTGCCTGAATAAAACACAATTGTGCAAACACAAAACCATATTTATTTACTCTTTTCTTACACTGATATAGACTATATCGTACGTTATCTGTCGTGATTGTAACTTATGAGTTCTATGAGATTGAAGAGTTTTAAACAACGAGTCTCTGAAAATAGTAAATACTGCTTCTTGGTTTTCTTGATTTAATTAGTGTATTGATTACACGCATAATTATCTTTTCGACCCCTTGGTTTGAATATGAAGCTGGCGAAATTTTGTGTGGTGTGAATATTTTGATAATGATAAATGAACATCATTGTTAATGCCAAATGAAAAAAAGAAAAAAAAAGAATGAACATCATTGTTAAATTGAAAGTATGATAAAGCTAATCGATTACAGAATTGGATGTGAAAGATGGAAGATTACTACAGGCTATTTCATGCTTACAATATTGAATAAAATTGGTTTGAATAGCATATCATTATTCTACAAAAGCTGTAAAAAGAGTATCTCATTGAGATGAGAAAAACCTATTTGACAATAAATCAATAACACTAATGAAACACTGGTGTAAGAGAAAGAAATTGCAAACATAGTCAATGAAGAAACGACAACTTTTAGATTTAAACACAAATAATTTGGTGCTATACTGTATAACCTTACTTACCTCGAGTCATTGACTGAATTTTACCATGACTATAAAATTTACTAGGTGTGGGAAAATGCAAGAAACAGAACGAGAGAACTGTCGGAAATTTGGAGATAAAATGTAGGGACAATAATGAGATTTTCGACATAAAATCAAAAAGCCAAAAAAAAAAAAGAAATTAACATTTATAGATAACAAAATCAGTTACAATTTCGATTAAATATGGAGAATTTGAGAAAGACTTTAGACTTGAAATCATAACTAGACGAACACGAGAAGATAATTTTTGCCCACTCATAAATTCATAATTACGATAAAGAAGACTTGAAGTGTCTCCACATGAACAAACTTTTGGAAGCACATTGTATAGAAGACACAAATTTAAGAGTTTAATAAATATCGCTTTGCAGCTTCTGGATCCAATTCTTCATACACCTGAAACCAATACACATGAGAAGAAAATTTCCCGAGCATTAGTATTGATCTGCAATAAACGTCTTAAGAAGAAAATGTGCAACACATACAAGTTTCTTGTGGAGTTTCTCGAAAGCCTTGCAGAACCTCTCTGCTTCAACCTCACCAACCTGCAAGAATGAGATGTTCATTAAGAACTAGAAACAAGTTCATATCCCGGATAGAAGAACATTTCAATATATGTAGTAGAATCAGAGATGAAACAAGAATCGATTCTTTCAGTAGAAGTATCTAAGTTGACAAGTTAAGAACGAACAAGACATATATTTCGATCTCCATTCTCTGGCAAATCTCTTATTCACAATTGCACATCAGATGCAATGACTATGGGAAGACATTGTCTACTAACATTATGAGCTACAACTCTATTGGTGAAAATTAGATTATAAATCTCATTCAACAACTAGAAACGTCTGAACAAAGTCACTGGTGATAGTTAGTTACCTTCTTCTCAGCAGCCGCTTTCAGCTTTTCCCAAAATTTATCTGTCAAAAGAAATCCACAAATCAAGTTAACGGATGCAAAATCAGGCAGAGAACAGACGATACACATGTTCAACGATATAGATAAGGAGCAAAAGGAATTTTACTCATAACAATCATAAAACCGTTTGCTTCTACAGCTTAAGAGCTAATTATATATGTGTATAACAGTAGCATGCAGATACCAGCTCTGTGTTAAGCAAATGCATGTATGAATAGGTCGAGATATTTTTTTCACTAAACGAAGCATGGATACTTCATTGCAATGGTCAGATCATGTAAAAAAACATAGCCAAGGTTAGCTGAGGAAAACACATATAACAAAACTACAAACATGATAGGCTGCAAATAAATCAAATGTCAGAAATCTAAGACATTCAGACAGGACAGTTTTAACAATTATCAACGAGGGTAGTTCACCTTGTCTGTCTTGAAAACACAATAAAAGCTAACAAGCACACATCAAGATTCCTTTTGCAATCTTCTTGATCAAAAAACAGATCACATAGATTCATGATTACCCTGAAATTTTCTTTTAATAAATTGGTTCTCTGGTTTATTTTCAGGTAATATGGTTTGGGAGCTTTTAGACACATTTGATTATTCTCTTTAATGAAGGAGACCAAGATCTCTTAGCTTTCTCTCTGAAATCGATTTCTCTTACATGATTTGAAAGAACTACTATACCCAACAACACTTTATAGAACCAGGAAACAGCTGATTACCGCTGGGAGCTAATGCAATACTAGCCGATCTAACAAGCCAGTAAGCTAGTGGCAGTTTAGTCAAAATCCGAAAGTAGGAAAAAGACATACCTTGATCAGTATTTCGATATTGCAAGTCTTTCGGCTCAGCGACAGTCGGTGCATCGTGCCATTCACTTACCTGCGTTGAGCGACTCCAAGTTCCATTACATTTCAAGTGTATATATCATTGGCAAATAAAGAAAAAGAAGCCTTAAGATATAAGAATATACCTCTCGGTCGACAACTGACTGTGAAGTTGATTGCTTTGAAGAATCTAAATCAGCCTGAAACCAAAAAAAAAAACTCAAATCAGACGAAATTAAACACACCGAGTAATGAATAAAGACTGCATCAGACGAAAGATGATATAGAGTGACATTTGTAATCATGTGTTAAAACAATCTTAAGAAAATTCAATCACTGATCAATTTACTAAACCATAACAGAGAGATTTTCAGGACGAGAATTAGACCAAAGTGGAAAATGAACAGTAAAAGCCCTTTCGAAACATACACTACTGCAAGATGAGATTATTAGGGTTTATAAAGAAAAATCAAGTTCGCGGCAACAGCAGTAGCAGCAGCAAAAGAGAAAGAGGGAAGGAAGAGAGAAGAGAGAATTTACACGGTGGTCGCGAGAGCGTACGACGGGGAAGAGATCGAGGAGACTACGAAACTCTTGGTCGTCCATGGCTTCCTTTCTCCTCCGATTCTCTCTTAAATCTGAAGAAATCTTCTAATTTCTTTCTTCCGTGCTCAAGGTTTCGTCAGAGTCGATTTTTTATTTTATTTTTAATTGAAAAGAAAAGGAAATTTTCATAATTAAGTATTTTTTAATCTTGTAAACCCATCCCTTTTTAGTTTTAATCTGATTTAATTAGAAAAGGTATTGTATTATGGTCTATGCCATATATAAAAACACATTTGTTTATATTTAATGTAACAGCAACATACATTTTTAGATGAAATTTCAAAACACAAAGTCAGAAACCACCTAAAAAGCTAAACATCTAAACACATGTCTATATATTTCAAATGAGATTTTTTTTCTTATTTTTCTCCCAATGTACCTTAAAAGGAGTTTTAAAGGGTTTCTTTCTTCAAGTTTGCACACTGAAGTACACATTATATGTTTCATCTCTTATGCTAAACAATGGCGATAACACAAAGTTCCTCTGTGTTCCGCTCATCACAAAACTCATTGGATTGTATTGATTTATTCCTGCGTTTAACTTAAAGCTTGCTGCCTGTTTAAACTTCTCATCAGTCGCAGCCGAACCACATTCAAGCCTTAGTTTCGTCCCCTGCTTTAGTGTTTGATCGTTGTACACAAAACAACCCTTTTTGCTCTCTAGTGTTAACGACACGCTTCCTGGCTTCCCATCAACTCCAGATACTAACCGAAAGCTAGAAGCACCTTTATCACTAGGAGAAGAAGCTTGAACCGTGAGGGAGCTATCAGTTGCTTGTTTTACAATCATGCCAGGGAAATCAAACGGCTCAAGCATGACCAGGCTTCCAATTAGTGCCTCTGGACCCGAAATCCTTGGTTTAGAATTATCAGTCACGAGCCTGAAAGTCGCCGCAACGGCATCTTGTGTCCCTGGCTCGGGTGATACCCTCATTGTGATGGTTTGGTTGGTATTTGACAACACGTAAGATATGTTTCCATATTGTTGTGAGAGTGTGACAAGGTGACTGTTATAAGTTTCAGGTATAGGGGTTATCCAGTTTCCAGCTTTAGCCTGAGTTGTTATGCTCCAGTCCCTGCTCGTGTGTCCGACTAACAAGTAGGGGCCATAGAGTATGGCTTGAAGAGATGCGTACTCCGGACGATCATCTGAAATACTCACAAAATAATGTAAAGATTGGTTGTTATTGCTTTGTCAAAACAGAGTTGCATACAATATATACACAATGATCAAGAACCATTTCAACTTAACAAACTCTACACAGTGTAATTGTGTTACCTTTTATAGCTTCAGTTCTGATACTCATTGGTAGCTCCATCGTTACTTGATCGCCAGATTTCCAGTTCTGTTTGATTGATAGGAAATTACCTTCAAAGAAAAAGACATATCCAATATGATTCTCATTTCACAAACTAGAGACTGTAACAGTCAAGCGAGTTCTGCTTTTTAGAACCTAAAAAGGTTACAATACACAATAATCAAATCACCTGAAGTTGGTACTTTTAAGGGTTTCCCATTCAAAGATACTTTGGCACCTATAGAGTTAGTCCAAACAGGAATTCTGAGATTCAAAGTCGACTTCTTCGCCACTCCCTGCAAGAAAATTGGATCCATCAGACTCTTTCTTCAATGGAACATGTTGCATCATGTTCTGCACAAGTTTTACCACTTTGGAAGAAGAAAGAGTGAATGTCACACGCATGTACGGATCCCACGACACAACAGGATTAACTTTCTGAGATAGCAAAAGACCAGCAGATTTCCAATCAAGTGAGCTTGATATATATTGGGTGACATAAAGAGCTGGAGATGCACCATCTTCTTGAAAATAAATGGAATCTCCCAGTTTTGAGAAGGATTCAATTCCTATGGAAATAAACAAAACAATGATTACCCTCAAAATTTATCTGTTTTTGTAACAAGAAAAATGTAGAAAACCAGATGATTGTGGTTAAAAGTTTACCAGTGCCATAGCAACACCAGAAGGAATCATAAGGTGTTCCCCAACCGTGATAAGTCACAGCCTTAGAAACACCTTGACCTAATGGGAGCATGTAGATCATCCGTCCAGGTTGGGTTCCTCTTTGAATTCCGAGCACACCGTTGGTCAAAGCGCGCTCGTAATAATCTGCATAGCTAACCTCTTTTGTCCATCTGAACAGATTCCTAGAGACCTGAAATTGTACAAGTGTTAATATGTTACGTTGAGCAAATGAAAAGAGTTTAAAATCCTACCTTGAGCATGTTATAAGTAGTACATGATTCCTCGTTTTCAGTTTGCAGTGTAGTCGCCATTCTCTTTGGATCTTGCCTAATGTTAACATTCCCAAAACATGGTTAAGACTTAAAACAAAAAGTCATGTTACAAAGAACCAAACTCTAAAGTCAGGTAATGGTAATACCAGAACTCTTTGACTGATGTTCCTCCAGTTGCATAGCTGTGAGAAGCATTAACTATGTCCATAAAGAACATTGAAATTTCCTGGAAATGCAGATTTTAGAATCAAGAGAACCAATATCTTCGTTGATAAACTTTTCTTGGTTACAATTCAATACCTTATGGAGTAGATCACCAGTGATTTCATATCGTTGTTGGGATCCAACGACGATAGGAATATGTGTATTAGCGTGGAATCCACTAATATCATCGGCCTGCAAAAATGCATGTCAAGTTATGTGACCTTACCATTCACATCTCTTCAAGGTAATCATCAAGTAAACTACCTGAACTGCGAGGACCCCAAGAAAGCAAGGCTTGTCAAAGAGATGTGCGAGAAACAAATACTTGGAATCTCTCTGCAGAGTCCAAAACACTATGATATAACACACATCTAGATATAACACAAATCTAAGGTTGCTTTTTAGAATCTGATAAAATTTTAACTCACAGTGATGCTGTATATCTGATAAAGAACATCATTCATGCCACCAGTCTCTTCGTTTAGTGATAGATAATGTCGTTCAACACTGTACAGCCTTATCACATTACGAACACGGCCATAAAAGTAATCAGCCATCCCTGTTGCCATCTTTAAAGCTTGAATATTCCCAGCCAACTTGTATTGATCCACCAGGCCAGCCAAAATCTATCAAAATTAAGACAGAGATGTTACTCTTTTGCAAAACATAAGCATATCAATCTACATCTCAGTCAAAGGGTCTGACTATTCACCTTGTGAATGGTGTAGTAAGGAGCCCAAACACGTGTTATAGCTTCAAACCGGTCGAAAAAACTGGAAGGAAAAGCAGAGAGATATCCAGTGCCAGATTTTTGCTGGCATTCCGCTAAAGCTGAGACAAGAGCTGACATTTTTGCCTTGAGAGTATCATTATGAGTACTTGCCCACATATGAGCTGTTGCACTCAAATAGTGACCTTCAAAACAAACAGACAGATTTTTAAGCCATCAACTAAAAGGTCATTCCTTTAAGGTTCTATGCAATGTAAGAGTGAAAATCCTTTCAAGGGTCTATGAAATGTCAAAAGGTGATTCCTTTAAGGGCATATGCAATCTTAAACATCAAATCTCAAAATCTTTTCTTGCATACTATCAACAACATGAATCAAGAAACTGTATTGAATAGAGGAAAAAGGCAGAGCTTTATACCGACAAAATGGCCACGGAGTTCACTATCTGGTTTCTCCCATCCTCCATAGGGAACTCCAGGAGCAGCAAGACCAGCTACTTTACGGAAGCTATAGGCCAAACCATCAACATCCAACATCAATAGATACTCAAGGTTTGTCTGCTGAGCCCTCCAATGAATGGAGCTCGGGTCCAGCCTAACGTCGTGCAAAGAGACATCCTTGAGAAAGTTACCAGGGGAATTAGAGTCCTTGAATTTCCTATACAACATAGTCCAAGCAAAATCATCCGTCTCTTCTTTCAACATCTTCCTTGGCAACAAAGTAGACCAAGCGGCGTCATCAGTTGGAGTTAAATGGTAATGAGAGGACAACTCTGTATTCAAAGTTTCGTTCTGTGATTGCAGAAGCTCGAAACGCAAAGTATGCGATGAGAGCTTCGTAGGAATGTCTGTACACTCTTTCGCTACACAAACAAGAACAAAGCTTGTATATAATAACAGAGGAATAGTTATGATGACACCAGACTTCATCGTATCTTTTTTTTCTTAAAAGACACAAAAAAAAGAGATGGTTGAAAAGCCGGAACCCGAAGATCCCAAATTTTCAGAATCCAAGAGACTCAAAACCTCATAAAAGTTAGGGAGAGGAGATTTGAATGGGGAGAAGAGAATAATGTGAGAAGAGATATTTATAAAGGAAAAGAGTCGTAAAGATTAAAGCAATGTCTGCCAAAAATAGAATTCTAAAGATTAAAGCAATGTCTGCTAAAAAAAGAATTCAATCACGTGAAAGAGAAAAACAGAGAGGATTTGGATAAAAACAGAGGAGCTATTCGCGTTATTTGGGTTTGTTGTAAAAAAAGAACCAAGTTTTTCGAGAGAGATGAGATCAGTGGGCTATTTCTGGATTTCCTCGAGATGTTGAATTGACAACTAAACACTATCGGCTATTTTCAGGTAGAGAAGTAGGATAATGAAAAGAACATGAATGAGAAATGTGGTTATTGGGTTTCTCCAGTTGCACATCTGATCAAACCATTTTCCAACAGCAATGAGGAGACCACGAAGAAGTTAGCTTTACTCCTCCTCATGCTCCACATGTGGGAGTCAACATCGAGGTGGCTCTTCGCCGAGACAATGTTCATCGCCTGGTGTCTCAGGCTATCCAACTGGAGAACCGATAACGGGTGCATTTTGTGTAGTAATGGCTGAGGACAGGATCTGTTGCCAACTGGTGATTATGGTTATGGGAACCTAAAACTGGTGATTATGAATCTGCTTATATACACATTGTTTTTTCCTTATCTCCAAAAAAATGATCCTTAAGAAAGTCACACATCCTCAATTTGGTAACTTGAAGTAGGAAGAGCATAAAAACCCACAATGGACTCCATTTTATAAAAAGAAAACCACACATAAAAAATTAGATCCGACCTCACTTTTACACACTGACCATCACAAACAAGACGTGAAACTCAATAAACATATACCGAAAAGAAGATGAGAGGGTATTTAAAAATCGGTAATATCAGCTTTTTCACTCACTCATGATCCAATATCTCTTCTTCATCCTCGTCTTCTTCATACTCACCTTCGTCATCTGCAGTTGCGTCTTGGTATTGCTGGTACTCTGAGACGAGATCGTTCATGTTGCTCTCAGCTTCAGTGAACTCCATCTCGTCCATTCCTTCACCTGTGTACCAATGCAAGAAAGCTTTCCTCCTGAACATAGCTGTGAACTGTTCGCTCACCCGTCTAAACATCTCTTGGATCGATGTGGAATTCCCAATAAATGTCGATGCCATTGAGAGACCTCGAGGCGCTATGTCACACACGCTTGACTTCACGTTGTTTGGAATCCATTCCACAAAGTAGGAAGAGTTTTTGTTCTGTACGTTGATCATCTGCTCATCCACTTCTTTTGTGCTCATCTTGCCACGGAACATGGCCGAGGCTGTTAGGTACCGCCCGTGGCGTGGGTCTGCTGCACACATCATGTTCTTTGAATCCCACATCTGTTGGGTGAGCTCAGGGACGGTGAGTGCACGGTACTGCTGAGACCCACGTGAAGTGAGCGGGGCAAAACCAACCATGAAAAAGTGGAGACGAGGGAAAGGGATAAGGTTCACTGCGAGCTTCCTCAGATCAGAGTTGAGCTGACCCGGGAACCTAAGACAGCATGTAACTCCACTCATGGTTGCAGAGATCAGATGATTCAGATCACCAACTGTTGCAATCAACCCATCACAAGAGATTAGCAAACAGTTCAGCCAGGAGGAATCACAATTGGAGATCAAAACAAGGACGCATTGTACCAAATAGCAACATTCATGGTTGCCCAAATCAGTGATTCAATTTTCACAAAACAACTGCAGAGAAGAATGGACATGGAAGGGACTTACAGCTAGGAGTGGTAAGCTTAAGTGTTCTAAAACAGATGTCGTAAAGGGCTTCATTGTCCAAAACCATACACTCATCAGCATTCTCCACCAGCTGATGAACTGAAAGTGTCGCATTGTATGGCTCAACCACAGTGTCCGAGACCTTTGGTGATGGGAAGACAGAAAATGTCAGCATCATTCGATCAGGATACTCTTCCCTGATCTTGGATATGAGCAGAGTTCCCATTCCAGACCCAGTGCCTCCACCAAGCGAGTGGCATACTTGGAAACCTGAGAAATTCATAATTATACATATCAGTGTTAGAACAAAATGTTAAAAACCACAATTCAAAGACCATCAATAAACATTTCTAGGATTACATACCCTGAAGACAGTCACAATTCTCAGCCTCCTTGCGTACAACATCGAGTACAGCATCAATAAGCTCAGCTCCTTCAGTATAATGCCCTTTAGCCCAGTTGTTTCCAGCACCAGATTGCCCGAAAACAAAGTTGTCAGGTCTGAAGATTTGACCATAAGGTCCAGTTCTGACACTGTCCATAGTACCAGGCTCAAGATCCATAAGAATGGCACGGGGAACATATCTCCCGCATGATGCCTCGTTATAGTAAACATTGACACGCTCCAACTGCAGATCAGAGTTTCCAACGTAACGACCAGTTGGATCAATCCCATGCTCATCACATACAACTTCCCAGAACTTGGAACCAATCTGGTTTCCACATTGACCACCTTGAATGTGAAGGATTTCTCTCATCTTCTATTTATCTGAAATCAAATTGCACATACATTTAGAAGACAAAACAATCAGTCTCAGATCCGAATGAAATTAGATCGAATTTCAACAACTATATCTCGAGATCTGAGATCAAACAATCGGTATCAGATCCAAAACAATCAAAATCCAAAAACACAACGCCGCACTCCGATTTCAAATTCTTCCCGGAATTCAAAACGGCACCACATTTTTCAAGTGATAGCAAATCAAAATTAAGAGAAAATATGAAACAGATCAAGAGCGGACACAGATTTGGAGGAAGACGATTCGATCAAAGTATCACAGTAAGTAAGTAAGTAGTAGGAGTTCATAATCTCATTCCCTAGGTTTCGCAGCTTCCAGAGAGGAAACAATATAAAAAGAGACTTAGCAGAGTGAACAATACCTCACGGTGCAGAGAATCCCGGCGAGATTGGGACAATCGTCGATCGGAGTGTGAGAGGAAGTGAGACGGGTGAGAGTGTAGAAGGTGGATTTATTTATGAAAGAGTAAGAAGAGGGAAATGTAAAATTGATCCAACGGCTGTGATTGGTTTAATCTATCGGAAGCTGGATGCCGTTGGATGGTGATATATCAACGTTGTAGATGGTGTTGGGTGAGAGATGTGGGAGCTACTTTGTGTTAATTGGATTGTGATTGTCGGTTCGTCCAATAATTGTTGTCACATGAATAGTAAATAAAATCTCTAACATTGGACTATTGGTCTAAAATGTAAAATATAAATATTTCGGTTTAATGTCTAAAGATTATTATTGTTTTCCCAAACGCAACTTAAAATTTAGAGAAGATTTTTTTTTTTTTTTTTTTTTTGGTAAAAGGTTAAATTGAGAAGATTTTTTTTGGTTACACGTCAAATACATAAACAAACTCATCGAAAGCCGTAGGAGCAAAACCCAAACCAACTCTTCACAAAATAAGGGAATTGATACCTCGTATGAGTGTATGACAGTATAAAATGTATAAGAACCACGAAAAAAACGAAATTGGTCTCACTGAGTACGACGATGTGATGAATTGTAAATCACCGTACCATGGTGGGAGAGTAGTAGACGAATTCTTAATGGGTTTTTTCGTATATTTACTAAGAGATTTAAGTTTAGTTAGTTCAACAAATAAATTTTAAATCTTTCTGATGCCAAAAAAAAAAAACTAAAACTAAATCTTTTTTTTGGTCAAATATATTACATTAAATCTTTCTTTGCATGCATGTCATAGCAAGACGTAATATGAACTAGATATACAGAAATTGTTTTTTTGGTCCATCATCTACACTTAAAAATTCCATGTATCATCTAAGTTTAATTATGTATATGAAGTTATAATGAAATCTAGAATTCTAATACGAGAGTTGAAGAAAAAAGTTAATGCATATTAATAGTGCCGTAGTTACGAGTTACGGCGATAAAATGATCTAAAACACACGCATTGGATACTCTCGTTTAGATTTAATAAATAATTACGATGCTGCTACATTGCTACTTTGAAACCCTTTAAATATTCTATTAGTTCTTACATCTGTCGATCTACTGTCAATCAATAAATTCATCATGATTCACGTTGATCGGTTTACTATTCGGAATTTCTGAACTAATTATCAGATAAAATTAAATATTAATCTGCCAATTTTGTCCTTGCCTGCACAACACTAAAATTGATGTCATATATAGTACAAGACGTGATAAATAAATTACGCTAAGAAAAGTGTTATATAGATCTGATTAAGGGGCAACATCACTGTAATTATGAGAAATTAGAAGGGTGCAAAAACAAGAATGTGTTGGTCTTGTAGAGCTTGTGGATCCGAATCGGATAGTGACAAAATGGGATGTGGAAATAAAAAAAAGAACAATGCACATGATAGCCACATTGCATCCCATGTGACATGTATTCAGTGCGCTAATTCTCAAAATTATTTAAAAAATTTGTACAAATTATTACTCATATTAATTTCAATTGAAAGTTCATATTATTAAAAATAAAAATATTGATAGTGTACTTGTTTTTTATTGATAAATAATAATTAAATATTAAATTAAATCAAAAACATAAATAAAATAATAATATTTTTTTAGTGTTTTGTGAATAGTGTTACACAAGATACAGTCTATTATAAATTTATAATGTCTTGTTGAATTATCACTAAATTTGGTACTTTGGAATGTCCTTCGAGATGGTCTAATTAGCTGAAGTGTAAACATTAGTTTTGCCGTTTTGCTATGAAGAGCAAATTTGTAACTCATTTATAAATTAAGAGAAAAATTTAATTAAAATAATCGTCATCTTCATTCTTTTTTTTTTTCCGCATATGGTGCCCCTTTTTTTTTTTTTTTTTTGCTAAGCCTTTTTCATGGTTTCTCAATCGAGAAGTAGAAACCTGACACTGAGATCCATGGCGATGGTATTTGCACAACCCAAGAAAAACTTACTTCCTCTCCTTCTCTTTCTCTTTTGTATCTCCGTCATCATACTCCTTGTTCTCGTCTCCGAGACCACTCACTCTAACGCCGGACGAGGAACTACTTTCCGGCGAAATTACAAGGATCCCCCTCCTTTCACTTTCCTCATCAAGGTTCTCACCTTTAACCGTCTTCACTCTCTCTCCCGCTGTCTCAGATCTCTCTCCGCCGCAGATTACGGCGTTTCCGGCGACAGAGGTCGCATTCACCTCCACGTCTACATCGATCACTTCAATCTCTCGCGGAATGATACACCTGTAGAAGATAACTTGAAGAGCGCGAGGGAAATCCTAGGGTTTGTTGATAGATTCGAGTGGAGATTTGGGGAAAAGGTAGTTCACTATCGGACTGATAACGCTGGATTGCAGGCGCAATGGCTAGAAGCTTGGTGGCCGAGCTCAGATCACGAATTCGCCTTCGTCGTTGAAGATGATCTTGAGGTTTCTCCTCTTTACTATGGAATTCTGGAACGCCTGATTCATAAATACTACTATGATACTTCCAATTTCAATCCTTCCATCTATGGAGCTTCGCTTCAGAGACCAAGGTTCGTTCCAGGTACCATTTTCTATTCTGTGATTCAGCAATGGTGATCGTAGAACAAACCTCCAAGAATTTAGGGATAGATCATAGAAGGAGATCGACATATACATTGTAGTTGAATCTAGTGATACATTGTTCAAATAGAGAGTAATTTGGAAGTTGATTGAAGCAGCGTGATTCTTATATGTTTCTTGGATTCTAATAAGCTATGCAAGTGTAGATCAGTAAGAAGTAGGATACATGAGTTTGTTAGTTCCTAGAAATGTCTTAGATAGTGACTGAATGATTTAGTGGTCAACTGCAGGTAAACATGGGAATAAACTACATGTAGATCCCAAAACGAATCTGCTCTTATATCAGTTAGTGGGAACTTGGGGACAGCTTCTCTTCCCAAAACCGTGGAAAGAGTTCAGACTATGGTATGACGAGCACAAGTCGAATGGCAAGAAGCCTTTCCTTGATGGCATGGTAACTTCAGGGTTGTAATTTCTTCTTGGTGGATTTCATTGTTTATAAATTCCCAAGTTATATCTCATTTATTATCTTGGTGGATGTTTTTTCTCAGGTGTCAAATGGATGGTACAAGAGGCTGGGAGAACGAATATGGACACCTTGGTTCATAAAGTTTGTTCATTCTCGTGGCTATTTTAACATCTATACCAGTTTTCCGAATGAGGGGGCTCTAAGTGTCTCTCACAGGGATGCTGGTGTTAACTATGGAAAAACCGCTGGGCCAGACTCACAGTTATTGAATAAAAGCTCTATCAGTTCTGATTCTCTGAAACTCCAACCCTTGAGCACTCTTAAGTGGTACGATTTCTGTTTCAGTGAAGTTGTTCCCGGTAGAGTTGTGAGAAACCTGAATGAACTTGGCACCATTCTTCCTTCTGTGCAGAGAGAGAAAACCATAATTCTGGTCAGTCTATATGGTGCAGACAAGATGTTCACCAGGAACTTACTCTGCCATTTCGAGAAGCTTAATACTCAAAACCACATTTTTATAGGCCCTAGCTCTGAGTTGTTCTATGATCTTTCAAGAAGGGGGCATCCTGTGATTGATGTGGATAGGTTTCTCGACAAGTTGATCAAAAGCAAAACTTCTTATCCAAACTCAGTGAAGGAGGCTCTGGGCAATGCTTACGTTGTCAAGAAATGCTTAGAACTTGGATACAGCACCTGGGCATTTTCAAGTAATTCACTTTTGATTGATAAAGGTCCTCTCCTTGACAGAGTCAGCTCAGAGTACGACATCTATATCGGGGAAAGATCTGGAAGTTTGATTGTTCAATCTTCACCAGTCACTCAAAAGTTATGGAGCAATGAGTTTCTACACAGCATTGCATCCTCAAAACAAAGGCTTGATTTTATTCATCTAGTGAAAGAGCTAGTGGAGCAAAAGGGCAAGAGGTTTAAGACTGTAGAGACGATGGATATTGCAGAAAATACAAATGCCAACAGCGTAAACCAATCGTTGGGAGATGGCAAGCCGGTGGTGTATTGGTCTCCTGAGGTTGCTCCCAATATGATTCGGTCAAAGCTAAAAGAGTTGAACTTGTGGCTCATCGATGATGATCTCTCTTGCAAGGCCGTGGTTTGTCATAGTTCATAACGTTAAAAACATATTGGCATTTTCTTGTGATAGGATTGTGACAATTCGTTATTTAGTTTTGTTGAATGTTATATAGAAGATCTAATACCAGCAACCAATGGTACTCAGTACCAAGAATAGATTGTTTGTTACCCAACAGTTGGGAGTTTAACTAACATGCCAATCTAAACGCATTGTCCACTGACTCTGTCTAGTGTGTGTAATATTCATTATAGAAGTCATCGGTCCGTAAAAGTTCCAACAACAGTAACACATGATGAGTTTTTTTGGCATTATAGATGTCTCATCTGTTTTTTTAACGTTTATACACATACTAAACCAAAACCAATGTCATCCAAGGCATATTAATTCAAATACATATAGTTTGCACGCAATTCGAAGTTTGTGTTTGATTTTGATCCTAATAAAACGCCAATAATTACAACCAAACAAGATCATAATGAAAGAGAAAGGTACCAAACAAGATCACAAAATTCTACATAGTATTATATTTGGAATAATAAGTGAATCAAATTTAATAAAGATATGTCGATGTCAAAAACAAGAACTACTATACTAAATGAGAAAATTTCTGTGAAAATTAACATATAAAGATGCGTGAGTCAAATTTCTTCGATGAAGTTTTGTCTAATTTATTTATGACAAACAAGCACTGTTATGCATGACTACAGAAACATTTTAATCTGGTCAAACCGTACGTGCAAAATTTTGATTTCACTTTATATAAGACTTTGTCACCAATATCATGTACCTAAATATGTGCCAAATTTTGGCTTTGAAACAAATTAACCTTGTGTTAATTGGTCGTACCATCTAAAACTTATAAACTACTATCACTATTATAAAGGTAGCCTCGTGTTAATTGGTCATACCATCGAAACTTATAAACAACTACTATCACTATTAAAATAATCTTGCGTTAATTCGTCGTACCATCCAAAATTTGTTTTATAATTCATGCTGCATTATTAAGTTTTCTTTTTGCTAAAGAACGTAGCATTATTCATTATTATGTTTATATAAGTTAACTTTGTGGATGTACATGAATCACGACAGAGCGTCGCCTCCACTCTCACTAATTAGGAAAAGATGGCTCAATATGTATATCTACTCATGACCGCGTCTCCACTCATGGTACCATATTGAAGATTTCTTTTGCATGTGATGATATTTCAGCTTTTTTCCATGTCACAAATGCATATGACTAATTATCAACTCATTTGACCACCACACCATGCTCACGCTCCTGATATATGTTCTACGCCAAAAAAATCGGCCACCACCAAAATGTTGATGACGATCTTTTTCATCTTAGCTTTCTGACGAGTTCCCGTGGATGTTCCATTACTATTCAATGCCAATATTTCCCTCATAACTTAAAAATAAAATAAAAGAGTCCAATTCAATGAGCAGATTGGTTCTTGATCAAGGGTTCTTCACTTGCTGAATGGTTGCGTAAAATAAGATAATTTCATATAAAGAGATGCATGAACTCAATATATAGAGATATTATTTCCTGATTTTGAGCCGCAGATCATCTTTGTAAATCATTTCATGGGAATTTGATCGACTCAACAGTCTTCTTTCCATCATGAGGTCTTCCAAAAAACTCCTTCAAGTAGTCCGAATACACAATCTTTCTATACCGAGCCATCTCATTGTTCTCTAACACCTCCGGTAACGGCTCAATAACCGAATCATGAACCGGTCCGCAGAAAACCGGAATGGAAACCCGGCTACAACACTTATTGACCACCACGCAATGCTCCACGCTCCTATACCTATCATTGCTCAATATCTGTAATACATCTCCAATATTAACAACAATTGCTCCAGGAATTGGAGGGACATGAATCCATTTGTCTCCATCCTCACTGGCTCGGGCGTACAGACAGGGCCGTGCCTCAATGGTAAAAAAATAAACATTGGCTTAGGGCATTTTAAGTTTTGAAAAATTTTAAGGGCATAATTTTCTAACTTCATTTACTTAAACTCAAATAATAGAGCTACACCAACTACGTATATACACATATGCTCAAACATTGACAGCTTTTTGATAAGTAAACCAAACTAATCATGAGTTTACACAATAAAAGTTATAGTTTTCTAGCTAAATAGTTAAGTAATTAAACAACAAAATATATAAATAATTTTAATCACTAAGAAATTAGAATAAAGAAAATTGATAATTGGTTACTTATATAATTAACTTGACTATACCCACAGAAAATACTAAAGAACTTAGCCATTGTATCCATGAAATATGATATTAGTTAGAAACTTTGATTTTGAAAGTTTAGTTGATGATTTTGTTGGAAAAAAAAATGTTACTACAAAAAAATAGTTTTGTTTGCCAAATTTAGTTCTTTATTTGTCTTTAAATTATATATAACAATGGAAACTGTAAACATTTATTTTATAAATTAAAGAGGGGCATTTTATTCTTAATCGCTTCTGTCGATCATGGGTGTTGGCACGGCTCTGCGTACAGACTGCTTGAAACACCGTCTTCTTGTAGGAGGAGAGTGAGAGTGTTGATGTCTGAGTGGCGACCAGTTCCTATGGCCAAGCTTGGCTCAGGACATTTCGGATAGTAGTTGAAGTTCATTCTCATTGTTCCCATTAGGGTTTCTTTATTGGACTCGTCGATGACTGAGTTTAGATTGTTGATGAGTATGTTTAAGATCTTCTCTGTGATTGGTTTGATCTTCTTGAAGTGGTCTATCACTTGTTCCCTACACACAGTTATTAATTCCAAACACTACTTAATTATGTACTTCCTTTTTTTGGTTCAAAACACTATTTTATGTACAGTTACACAGTAACTACTATACTTACTTGCAGACGGAAGGCCACGTGGCAGCGAAGTCGTGTCGTTGAGGAAGATACTCAAACTTGAGGAAATCTCTCCATTCCAAAACTCTCTCCTTGTAAGGATTGAAACTTGTGGTCAACCACGCCGTCTCCGACACCGAAATCCCTCGCCAATACCTTCTTCTTTCTTCGGCCGGCAACTCGAAAAACCCACGCGCCGCCGCAGTCACGCCCATCAACTCCGCCGGAGCTATCCCGTGGTTCACTATCTGAAACAAGCCGAGCTTTGTCGCTGCATGGCAGATCTCTCTAGCCACGTGCGGGTCATTCCAATTGGACACGTCAATGACCGGGACCGATGATCCGAGGAGGATCTTGTCGGAAGTGAAGCGTTCTTGAGGAGGTTGAATGTATGGAGAAGGGAGTGTGGTTAGGATTAGAAAGTCGACGAGTCCTTTCACTCCATTCTTTTGGTTCACCACGAAATCTCTCACTTCGATTTCGTCGGTGGTGGGTCTCATGTTTTTTCTTCAATTTTTAGTTTTAGTAGTTAGAGAGTTTTATTAGTCATTACTAAATAATGGGGACTATATGATATGGATTATGGATACTATTTATACACATGAAAGTATCATGGACGATTTAATGTCGATGTTTCTCGATCTCTAAAACATGATTGGACAACAGATATTTTAAGTTAAAAAGTTGAAGAGAAGAGCATTTGTTTGTTATTTCTATTATGCACTAATATTTAACAGTGGTCCTCTAAAAAGCATTTGATATCACTTCATACTTTAATCATGTATATACAGGTGCCCTACATCTCCATTATTTATTCATTTGAGTATGAAAATGGAAACTTGACTATTCACTTGAACTAGGGCTGGGCTGGGCCGGATCCGGATCCGGCCGGATCCGCCTTTTCATTATCCGGATCCGGATCCGTTCCACCCGGATATCCGAAACCGTAAAAAGAGTCGGATATCCGGCTCCGGATCCGGGTTTTTTTTATATAATTTTTTTATTAATATAAAATTCCAAAAAAAATATTTAAAAACAAATAATTTAATATAAATAATAAAAAATATTATTAAAAAAATATTATTCTTATATAAAATAATAGAATTTATTAATAAAATTTAAATAATAGTAATAAAATATTAAAAAAATATTATTATTATATAAAATATCCCGGATCCGGATATCCGGCTTTAAATTTTCTATTATCCGGATCCGGATCCGGATCCGGCCGGATCCGCTTTTTCATTATCCGGATCCGGATCCGCCCCACCCGGATATCCTATTTTTCGGAGCGGATTGGAGCGGATCCCGGATCGGATCCCGGATAATTGGTCTCACCCCTATTCAGTCTCACCAAACCAAAACAAAACTAAATTTCGACAGGGTTTCACGGGTGTGTGTGTGCTTGAGAGTGACTCAACCACACTGATCAAAGCATTGGAAATTGAAATGCCAGAGGAATAGCATTGTAGAGTTTATCTTGGCACAATTCTATTTTATTTGTTTTAGCCTGGACATGAAATATCTCATCTCGACTCACCGAATATGACTATATGGGATGAGATAGAGATTGGTTAGAGAATATTAAAGCCAAAGCATACAAGACCACAAAACAGGTTTTGATAGCTTAAATTGCAGCATAGATCATGAATTTCAAAACTATCTCCTACGTGTAACTTTGTTTTACCATCTCAAGGAACCTCAAGCACGTATTTCTGGAGGAATGATTGAATAAAATCGGTATTTCATAAACCAGATTAAGAAGAACCCTAGATGAGTTATTGTCGCTTCAGAGAGGGAAGCAAACAGTCATAAACCGTTACTAGTCGTTGTGTCACTGTTAGCTTGTATGATGTTTGCTGCTGTGGCCTTCCTAGCTCGATCAGATCTTGTTTCACTCTGTTAATAAAAACCCATCAGTCAGTTCAAGCACACATATAACCACTTTAACATATAAAGGACTTATGATGAACTGAAAGCTAATGGCAGCCTCAGTTTAATATCAGCTAATTTATGGGATCAGAGTAAAAACTTACAAATCCCACTCGTCAGTTGCTCGTGCAGGTTTCTCAACAACTCGATACAAACGTTCAAGGCTGTATATTAGCAAACCAAATACGGTTTCTGCGTCCTTATCCTGTAACAGCATCAAGAAACAAGCAGAAACTTTTTCACAGGATTTCTTACATGACCCATTTGCAAAATAATAATGATTCATGATAAAAGGGAAAAAGAAGAATAGTGGACATCTTACACGTCCTTGTTCAATGTAGCTCTGATACTGCATAATTCTCTTTTCAATTTCAACGACAAGTAGTCTCCTGTGAATACGAGCAATTCTTCCTCGTCCTTGAGCTTTGCTATCCTGATTCATACCAGTGAAATCAAACTGAATGAAGATAACAAAGCTGCATTGACTGTACACAATGAGTCTTAAACTATATAAAAAAATGGATCAAATATATGTATTTCTGTCACATTTGGTTTTCCTTGAATTATCATTATCCTTACCTTTTTAAGCCAGGTCCGAAGCACTGTGAGCATAACAATGCTGAGAAAGAATGCAGGTAATGCAGCCAGAATGGCAAAATTTATTTCATTTGCACGGAGTATTTGATCCAGTTCAAGCATCGCACTGCAGGAGAAGATTATTCAGTTTTATACAAAATGAGTAAGAGATCTACTTAGGTAACTGAGAGCTACTGGTTTAATAAACTTACGTTTCTATATCCAGTTTAAGCTTCTGGACCTGAAAGATAGAAAATTCTGATTAAATTAGAATCTCACAAACCATAAACTATAGCTTCATGCCAGGAACTTAGATTACCTGAATAAGCAAACCACGGGCAAGCTCTCCGCTAAGAAGGTTGTGAATAGGATGCACAAGTTCCTTTTCATACCTGCAATTAGAAGGTAAAATTCAAATACGTACCAGGAAATTTCACAGGAAATCATTCTACCAAGTCTAACGTGGTTAGAAATGAGGCTGATGACCAACACAGTCATGAGGAAACGTCTTTCATTACCCAAGATTGGAACTACTAACAATTATTTGATTGCTTACATTAATGCAAAATGTAACCTAAGAAAGAGTAATGTCCAGAGTTGTACCGATGCATAACAACCTCGAGCATCTCCTGATCAGATGCATTATCCGGGACCTTTTCACGTGTAGCCTGCTCGCAGAAATTCCTAAGCATTCTGCATAAAATAGAAAATTGTAAGACGTACTAAATAAATGGTTATAGAGATTTTTTTGTTAAGGTTATGTGAAACCCCTAGTGATCCAAAGAATGAGATCAGTAGCTCCATATGAATAGAACAAGTGAAATGCTAAGGCATAATGAAAAGTAGACGATGAACGCACATATATAATAACAAACAATCAGAGCTAGGATAAAAAGAATCAAGAAGGAAATGAATATCAACCTATGCAGTGAGTCTTGAGTCAGCTGCACTTCTTCAGTTTCCATAACACCCTTGTGCCTTTTCCGGAAAGTATCAAAAAGCTCATCCCGAATGGAAAGCAGCTGCAAAGATTAGGAAACTGATTCAGAAACTCAGACTCTCAAAATGTCATGTAACAAACTAACAACTCGATCATTTTAACTCGTCACACTTTTATTTTGACTCCGACCAAACTTTGAGAGTCGCAGTAGCTATCACTTTGTACTTTATTTGTATCCTTTAATAGAGTTTTATGCAACAAGTCATTTGTTGGAACAAGAAAAATAGTCACTGTTCCCACTTAAAATATTAGCAAGGTTAAGAACAAACCGGTTGCTCAACATGATCACTAAAGAAGCTCATTGTTGCTTCTTTTGCATCATGAACCCAATTCTCGATGTCCGAACTTCCCATCAAACTACTATGACGTAGTAGCCATATAGAAAAAACAGAGAGCCCAACTGCACCACATGTATACCGGACCCAGTACAGAGTCATCCTCCTTGGCTTTCGATGTTTCCCCACCTATTTAAAAAGAAAGGCAAGAAGGAAAACTCTCAGAGTTGATTTCAAATGAAAAGTGTTTGTCTTTACATGATGATTTATATAAACAAGACTACTGGCCCATGATACATAAACAACAGCCACACCTACCATAACTGATAAGTATGAGTTAAGTTTTTCCAAATTTTTATGAACCAGGTTGATTGCATCTGTAAGTTCACAATCAGTCCACTGGGATCCTTCTTCATTAACTTCAGGCAGTCGATCAAATACAAGAGGCATTGGGTAACTTCCATCAACAGAAGAATCACACTGCAAATGAGATTTCAGACAATAAATGTAAGACCAATCTAGAAACAGATGAGTTAGGACCATCCCAGTGATAAATGGTCAGACAAATGAAGGTAGTGCCAACGCAAAGTAAGGTCAAAAGTAAGAAATCAGTGTGTTTACCTCACGCTCAGCATGCAAATGGGTGAAAGATCCCTCCAGGTTCGAAAACAATCCATTGATAACAGCCAACAATGATGGCAGTGACTTTTCTGGATTCTTCACAAGATCCTCTCCACGTTTATCCAATTCAACATAAAGCTAGAGAGCCCATTGAAAGTAGTGACATTAGTATGTCAAACATGCAAAACAAGGCTACTCATGCACAAAACATTATAATGGCGTTACTCATGTTAAACAAGGAATTGATTTTTCATGACAACCTGGGCAAGAAAGGAAGCGAGTGCAGATCTTAACTCCACCAAGACCCGCATCCTCTCTGTCATGTGAGATGAAGATGACTGACAAAGATGCTGCATCGCAGAATCCTCACTGAGACTTTTGCTCACGAACTTGGTACTCTCGTTGACAAAAGCTGTTGGTCCTCTCTCGAAAATCATGAAGTAAGCTTTTCGAGCATTGGAACCCTGTGTTAAATACGATCAAAATCATGCCAAGAGAAGAACCATTTAGAAGGAAGACTTCCACTACAAAATCCAGTGAAGGAAAAGGTACATCTTATGGAATGTTCTGTTCACTCACCTCAGCTCTAGATCGCCAAAAATCTAAACTTTTCTGGATATCATGCAAATTTTCGAGGACGTCAGCCATAATTTCCTCCAAAACACCATGAATCCTAGCTGTATCCGCAGAGACATTGCTTGTAATTCTGAAGATATCAAAATGTATAAGCTCAAAAGTCAAAACAGTCTCCATCTCGTCATAACATATATAATCAAACAAACACGAAACTCCAGTAATTAGTTCCAAGCCACGATCATCAAAAAGTAATCAATGAAGGCCGAAGAAATAACACTAACTAAGAAAAGTACCAGAAACTACCAAAAGACATGAAAACAGAATCTTACGTAGAAGAACTTGGGAAATCGGAGGGTAGGGGAAGAGGAAAAGAAATACTTCGTTTTCTCGAAACTGTTTGGCGATAGAGATTGGAGATTTTCCCGAGAAAAATGGAATTGGAAGTAGGCAACAAGGAAGCAAGGCGATTCCAAAGGTAACTCGAATAAAAAGGAACTAGCTCTCCGACGTTTGACAGCGCCGTCGACGGGGTTGACTCGTTAGCCGGAGGTTGAGAATCCATCGAAGTCGGCTATCAATTTTCTCAGTTCACCAGTGGTCGGGTTTATGACCGGAGACAGAGTAGTTAGTGCCCTTGATGTCGGTAAAGAGATTTGAGACTTTTGACAAAATAATGAATTAAAATCCTTATTGGGCTCTTAATGGGCCAAGAGTAGCTTCAAATTTTAGGTTTTGAAAACTGATCTCTGTTAGAAGTTAGAACCGACTCAAATTATTTAGATATTTAATCATTATTTTTTAATAAATAAATTATTAGAAATTGGTTGTAGGAAGATTATTATGTGAATCAAAACATAGAAGAAGCTAAAATGTTAAACAACTTATTTGCAATGTTGTTGTTGATTCCATTAAAAGAATGCTCTGCTACCGTAAAACACACGAGACCCTTCTTTTTTCTTCTCTATTCCATTACTATTATTATTATTCTGATTCTGAATCTGTGTTGCACTGTTGTTATTGTTACTGAGATCTTCCTCCTGTGGGTTATGAAGATCCATGGGAAGCTTCATCTTTGCCAAAGACTCAGTGAACTGTTGCATACTTCTCATATACATCTCTGCTATCTGTTTCTGCATTGTTGTTTCTTCATTCATCTTATTCTCTTCCTCTTCTTCTTCACCTTCTTTGCTTCTTCTTCTTGATACTTCTGTAATCTCTCGATTCTCTTTCTCGTTTGAATCTGCTGTGTTCTTGTCGTCGCTTAAGCTTGTTGTTGTTGAAGAAGAAGCCATGAAGCTTCCATTTCCATAAAGCTCTTTCTCATCCGAGCAAACCATTGTTATGTCCGTTTCTGGTCCATGTGTTGAGCCGAGACAGAGAAAAGAAGCGCTGCCGGATCCATTGAAGTACTCTGTAACCATTTGTTTGTTCTCGTTAACAACATTGATGTCAGGGAACTCGATCCTCGTGTAATCCACTGTTTCAGAGACTTGTGGGTCAAGCAACACGACCTCGGAAGAAATTGAAGTGGTGTTAATCTTGGGATTAGATGAAGAAGAAGGGTTAACAATGGAAAGCGTGAGCTTCACGGTACCAGCCGGGGAATGGAAGAGATCGGTGGAGGAGAGACTGTAGTCTTGAGTGACACTGTCTTGACCTATGATGTCTGAGATTGGAACAAGAGCGAAACCAAGAAGCTGATCTTCCATGTAATGTCTGGCTCTGCTCATCATCCAGATCTCACATTTGAGAACTGCAGCATGAGCATCGATCTGAGTCACATCGATCATAAGCTTCTGGTTGAATTCAGGGTTTTTGCCTGCTCTGTGGATGATTCGGGTGGAGATGGTATCGTCAGGATTGTATGTGAGAGAGAATTTGGCGTAGACGTCTTGGTTATCGTAGATACAGATGTTGTGGATGTTCCTTGCGTTGTGAACAAACACTTGGAGAACGCCTGAGAAGCCTTGATGGTAGCAGAACTCAGAAGCAGAAGAAGCTTGTTTCAGAGATTCCATAGAGGAAAAAAACAGAGAGAGATGATCAAAGAAAGAGAGAACCAAGATAAAGCTGTAGATGGTTTAACGTTTAAAATGAGTCTGAAGCTGAACAGTAGCATGACCTCAAAGGGAAGTCAAGAGAGAAAGAGAAGTGTTAGTGAAGCAAGAGTAGCTTTTGCTTTGAGGGAATTCAGGAGCATGGAATGGAAGAGGAATAGGGTGGTTGAGCATAAGAACCAATGGAACAAAAATAGATAAATATCATGAAGATAAAAAGAACATTATGATGACAAAGATGATGATTATGAAGACTCAGATGATGAAAATATCTAACCACACATTTCCCATGGAGCATTTTCATCAAACAACATCAAGCCAATTCAGACACTAACGACGATGAACGTTTATATTGGTCAACAAAGTTGACCTAGACTAATGATTCCATGGTCTTAATGGGGTAGGTAAGGGATTGAGATGTCTATTTTTCTGATCAATAAATTAAAAAGTTAAATCTATTGTAGCTTTGATTTTGCTTGGCATTGCAGTCTACACCACCCAAAAATTGGCCAAAGTCAATTGAAGACCCCACCAAAACCCACTCATCATCATCATTACCATAACCACTTAATCCTCATTTCATAAGCCACAATATCTCTCACTCACATCAAGCAAATGATCAAGAAAGTTGCAGACTAAATAAATCAAATCTAGCAAAGCATCTTAAAGACAAAGGTTCAGCATGTGTGGTGGTTCTACCATTATTAGATTCTACTGATGTACAACTTCTCAAGTATCGAAGTCAATGGATTTGGCCATTTGGGGTTGTGGTGGGTTGATGTTAATTACAGAGATACAACCACAGTCACTTCCTTCCCAACCTAACCAAATGGGCCTCGTGCTTTGCAGCTGCTACAGCTTCAGCAGCTTTGTTTGCAGCTTCGCGCTTCATTGCCCTCTTTGCACGCCTTCCTGTTATGGCACTGCTAGTCTTCTCCTTTGGCTCACGTGAGGATGAAGAGGCTGGTTCAGAGCCAGAAGCCTGGCCACCTCGGTTCTTATGTTGGACTGGCCTTGCTTCTTGGCGGCCTGCTCTAACAAATCCATTGTCACCCCACCTCCGGTTTCCTAAACGAAGACTTGAACCTTGCATATAAAACTCGTCAAGGTCATCGTCATCCTCCTCCTCATAGTCAGGTGGAATGTCAAAATCATAATTGAAATTGTCATTGTCTGAAACCCGCTCCACTGCTTCCAGTGGCTGAAACCATGCTGCCCTCAGGAGGAGGCATACACTCTCCTCGAACATGAAATCTTCAACGCTGCAATGATATATAACAGAAAAAATTAGTTGGAAACGAAGAAGTACATAAAATGATGTAAAAGCAAGAAAGGCACAGCCAAGCAAATGGAGTTTAAAATGGAGCCAAATGTAAATAAGGATGGGAATTTTACCTTCCATCGAGAGCACGGTGGACATTGAGAAAATCAAATGGAAGCTTACATTGTGGGCAGGTAGGTTTCTCTTTGTAACTTGCCCAACGGAGTATGCACGTCACACTATATATAGATAGAAATGAATCATTCCTCTTAAAAAATGAAAAGACAAAAGTCAGTATATGTACTATTTGACTATTTCATTTCTAATCGAACATTCTTATTCTGTTCAAACGAAAGAAACAAAAAAAAAACTATATAACAGGTTTACAGTTTAAAGCAAAAACAAAGTCCATCGTTAAGGAAACTGAGCTGAGAACTAAAACTGATCTAACAAAACAAATGTCTTAAACCACAAACGGTAACTTCCTCAGTAGCAGACTAAGTATTGATAAGAATGTCAAAGAAAAGACTTCTATACAGGCAAAATCAGATCATCAAATTAGCATCATTGCTCATATAATGAAAAAGGATATACACTATTAACAACACAAAAAAAACTCTGGATAAACCAAGAATCCATGAGGCGTACCAGTAAGCATGTTCACAGCCTTTAACCATAGCTGTTTCTTGAAGAGGTATTGTATCCAAGCATATTGCACAACAGCCGCCATGGTTCCCGAAACTCTGCTCATTGAACACTTGTTGAGTCTTCTTTTCATCCTAAATACAGGAAAAAAAAACATTTTGAATCAACCTCGTTCACGAATTATAAAGAAATTCATCAACATCATTCTAAAGAGTGTTTTGTTTCGGATAGGATATACGGAAAAAAGAAACCAAATTCATGTACAGAAGACACAGTTTCAACATCAGACACAGTTTCAACATCAGACACTCCACAGGTAACAACCAAACTACAAAAGACGTAAATCCGAGAAAAATTCCAAATTGAAGCTAACTCACGTACATTACACACAACGAGATATCAGAACCAACATTCACGAAATCCCTAATTTCTCAGAACATTTCATAGATCAATTCACAAAGGAAAACGCAGAAGCATCGATAATTCAAGAGCTAATGACAGAGGGACTCGATCATAAATCAAAAAAGAAACTTGATCTTCCATTTTGGATAAATTTAATTGATTCACAAGGGCAAAACGAAAACAAAACCTGATCTTGATGAAGAGACAAAACATCCACTAGCTGCTCATCAACGATCTGGATCGAGGAACTCATGGCGGCGAAAGAGAGTAAAAAATAAAAATTTGGATTCCCGGAATCTGATAACGAAAGATAAGGTAATGAAAATAAATAAAAAGCTGTTCCTCCGAAATCTATTCGGTAAGCAGAAGAAAACCCTAATCCAGCAATCGCGAGTTGAAAGCGGGTATGTGAATGATTCGGAGACCAAAAGAATAAAGAGAAAAGGGATCGATCGGAATCCTCCGTAGGAAACGGCCGAGGAGATGTAGAAGAAGAAGAAGAAGAGAAGACCCTAATTTAACGATTACGACTTCTCCACCAGAAAAATCAAGCGGCGACCCAAAATAAAAATATTATTTATGCGGTGCTAAAAATATGTATACTTTTATGATTTTTTATTTATTTTATTAAATATGAAGTATAATAGTTTAAAGAGTTACAATAACTAAAATATGAAAGCTCACAAAAAAAAAAACTAAAATACAGTATGAAATATATTCGACCATTTTATCATTTTTATATACATTCAAAATTCATGAAAATTAGTTTTCAGTAAAAATGACATCACTTTATCAATTTTATTTGGTAATCCATAATGTTATTTTAATTACATAAATAAATATATAACAGAGGCTCTGTTACAGAGCCAACACACACAAAAAAAAAAAAAAAAAAGGAATCGGACAAATAACACCAGAGTAGAACCAGAAACCCTCAGATTGAAATTGGTATTGGCCGGTGGAGAATGGGAGCACAAACAAACGTAGTTGCAGAGAAAGTTGAGGACTTGCTCGATGTCTGTCTCCTTCTCTTTTATCCCTAAAATCCCCTTTTACATATTCGATTCATGTCTCCCACTTTTGGGTGAGCTAAATTTGAGTTTATTTGGTTTTTTTTTTTTAATTGACAGGCTGCTAGATACAATGATATTGATGATCTCAGAACCTTGGCCTCTGATGGTGTCTCTCTTGACTCTCGTGATTCACAAGGCCGAACAGGTTTTTACATTCTGCTTTTGTTCTAAAGTTCCAATTTTTCCAGTCAATAGCTTCACTTTTTCTTTAATGCCACAGTCAGATGAGGTTCTTAAACTCTTGCTCAGATACTTGGAATGTCTAGTTTGTCAATTACTCGTATAGATATAGGAAAACTTGGAGTAAGTGATGCGAAAAAATTGTACCTTTGGCTCTCATTTCATCTGGTGAAACCTTGGTTACTGTTTTTCGGATTGAGTAATATGTTGGTGTTCTTACTCTTATCCTTGTATACTCGGATACTCAGATTAAGGCGTTTGAAATGTATGTTTAACTATGGGAACGTTGTTTCTTTTATCTTTTGTTTGTCTTCATAGCCCTCCATATGGCCGCGGCGAATGGACATATGACTATAGTGGAGTATCTTATCAGTCAAGGAGTGGTAAAAAACAACAACCCCTTGCTAATTTTGATGCCTTGACGATGTAATTTCTGGTCTTCTATCGATTGAACATGAATAAAAGAGAGATTATTGTGGCTTTGTTTTTTGTGAGCAGGATATTAATGCTCTTAACGATGAGAACAATTCTCCTCTACATTGGGCATGCTTAAATGGCCGTGTTGAGGTAACCATCACTCATGTCCTTGCTTGAACATGTTTTGTTTTCCCGGTTTACTAATTGGAAAGCTACTTACAGGTGGTGAAGAGATTGATCTTGGCTGGAGCAAGTCTAAGTCTTTTGAATCGGTTTGTCTCTTCGATCTTTCTTCTAAATCTATTAGAGGAACTAAGCTGAATCAGTAGAAGCTTGAAATTTTTGTAGGTACGAGAGGACTCCAATGGATGAAGCCATTGGTGCGGAGAAGATGGAGATTATAGATGCTATTAACACAACTGTTGCACAAATGGAACTTGAAAATACCAGTGTGACATGACTTTTCAGACATCTTCATCCTCAGCATCCTAAATGTTCCCTTTCTCTATCTCTGTCTCTCTGTCTATCTGATTTACAAATGAGGTTTTGCTGTATTGTGGGATTGTCGGTTTGTTACCTATGCTAGTAGTTGTTAGAACTGGGATCAATAGAATTCAAAAAATTTGGTTGCAACACCCATAACCACAAACTTGTTCAATGAATTTTGGGCTGGACCAGTTTGGTTTTGGTTTTATTTGAATTTGATTTCAGTTTTGAAATAATAAATTTGCAATAAAGGATGGACAACGGTGGTGGTAGCCAGCTGCGGAGATGTAGCGGCTAAGGCATGTATTCTGTAACTGCTTAGACTTTTACTTCCCTTTATAGCTTCAGTTGTCCTTCTTATATATCATAGTTTTAATTTCGTACATATTAATATCGAACTAATTTGCACATAAAACGAAAACTTGAACAAAAGACACTGATGTATCGAATCACTATCAAAGTGAACAAGCTCAAAACCCAAATTATCCAAACAAGAACATTGTATACACTAACTTGCGAAAAGGACACTACTGATGTATAGAATCATTATCAAAGTGAACGAGCTCAAAACCCAAATTATCTCAAGAAGACTTTGTCTACACAGGTTCATGGATGCTATTGGTGAGCCAACCCAATGGCCAAGATTGCAAACGTACACAAAGGAGATCCTAATTCCCAAGTAATCAAATAAAACATCTTAGAACATCCTCATTTAGAAGTCGATAAACAAACATGTGTGCCTGCGGATGCAATAGCTAAATAAGCTTATAACTTTTCTTCTTATATATTATGCGGTTCTTGAGAATTCTACTCTCGGTTGGTTTGATTTCAATGGTTTGAGATGGATAATTACCTTATATATGCATTTCTCGGTAATGCAAGAAAATTGGTACTTTTGAGTTATTAAAAAGGACATTGTGATGTAAATGAATATAATTTTTTTCATGGATAGATTTGCCTTAAACCGACACTTCGTATAAAGTACAATATACTTCAGTTTCTTTTGGTTCGCTTAAAGCATACACATTGGTGCACTCTTTACAAGAGTGTGACTAATATTAAAACGAAAAATATTGAAAAAGTTGGAGAAAATATGCAAGTGGGATGTAGGATAACACCCGAGTGTTGGCATTATAAAAAAGAAAAAAAAAATCTTCTCTCTATCTCTCTCTATCTCTTTTTCTCTCTCTCTTTTTTCTTCTGACGCTTCCACTACAGTTTAATAATTAAAAAATGTTTAACAAGTAATCTCATGAGTGTAGCGCTGTGTATGCTCTTACAAATTATTGTTTGGCAAAAATATGCATTATGCGCGTTTGAATTTACATCGACAATGCTAATACTACAAACCACTGAACTACAGATCTTCATCCATGTACAAACTTTGATAGTTGATACCAATAGGCAATTAAATTTATTTATCATCGGTCTCTAGTTTGGTGAAGTGTTGGACGTTTGGTGGATAGACTAGTAGTTGTAAGAACTGGAATCATAAATCAATCCGGAAGAATAAGATATAAAGTGATAATCTTTCGGTGCCCCATTCCTTCTTTTGTTTTTTTAACATATGTGCATTGCACCATTGCTTCGGTTAAATTAATCTAAGCAAATATTAGATAAAGTAAAAGTTATAATTACTAATTTTGGTTTAGTCCGAAGGGGAATGAATCTCTCTCTCTTTACCAAATCCATGCACCTAAACTTGCATTTTTTGTTTGGCCTTCACGTTCACGGTGTTTACGCACATGCCTCTCACTTCTTCAAATAGTTTCATAGTTTTTTGGATATAAAAAAAAATCATTTGTTAAACGTTTTCACAGTTGGCAAAACATCATTTCGTAAACCTTTCGGCATAGACTCGTTCTGATGCAGACTGACGCTGTATGTCTCTTTATGTTAGATGTGATATACAGATAATTTTATTTAAATGGTTTTTCGTCAACATATTCCCCACTCTCTTTTTGTCAAGTAATGTGTCACGTAATATTTTAAATCAACAATAATAAAATTGATTTGAATGTGAGGGCTTCAAATTTGGAGGAAAAAATCAAGATGTAAGAAAATAATCAAAAAGTTTCAAAAGTATCAAGATTTTGCTTAGCTATAAAAGTAAAGAAAAATCTCACTAGCAGTACTCGATCCAACATAATTATAGTGAACGCTAACCATTTGATTGTTTAATATCTATATATGCATGTTTTGTGTTATGATTATACTATGTTTCCGTGTAATCATTCTACTGGATGGCAAACGACATCTATATCATTAGTATAATAATAATTAAAAAAACGTTACTATAATAAATGAATGAATTATACAAGTCGTTTAGATATGATATCTCATAAGTATTGTTAAAATAGTTGGTAACAAAGTATATAGATAATAAACTTGAATGTTTCACATATCCTCTGCTTAAAACAAGATCATATATCTTCTGATAAACTAATTCTCCTGAGCTTAAAATTTGTATGATTGCCAATGCGTGATGCTGTTCACCATAATAGCCACCAACGAGAAACCATATGTCTACACGTACAAATATATTTGGTTCGGTTTTTATAAGATTCATCTTCCACTGGTTGACAAACATGCTCATCAATATTATACAAATGTAACCAAAAGACATAAAATAAAGAGATCTGCGCGAGGTATCATTTTCTTGCGAGGGGGGGACGAATATTACTACGTTCGAAAGTTCAAAAAGCCTAAACCCTATAAAGCCTACGACACTGTCGAATTTATTATTATTATTACTTTATGGTGGAGTGTTTGAAGGAATATATTGTTTTTTAATTTTATTTTTGGCTTTATTCCTACTACATAATACAATTGATAAACATACGAGGGTTCAAGTAGTTTAGTTAATTCACACATTCAAATTTGGAAATATATTCATTTGAATGAACTTCAAATACTATAATTGGAACTTTCACCTAATATTTTGATGCTCTATAAGTCTTTTCCCTTGCAATAATATGTGTTATTTTATGAAAATACATAAGTTGTGTCCAAACAAGACTATAACTATGCTTCTGATATTAACGATTTAGTGGCGAAATCTATGGTTGGACATAATCGATATTCAGGTTCATATATTTCTTAAATTGTATTTAGGCATACTTGTTTTTTGTAAAAGGGATTTAACGTGAGATCTAATTGTGATATGATATAGACTTTGACTCCCCGAAATAGCACTATGCCAACGCCCAAATAAATTCAAAATCTAAATATGGTTCGAGGCTTCGATCGAGCAATATTAATTTTTTCTCTCGATCTACACAAAGATCCATATGTTTAATCTCATAAAAGCCTATACAGTATATATATCAGTGCACAGCAACGTGCCTAGGTAAGGTGGAAGCCACAAGATTACAGAGTCTTCTGCGTAATTGAATCTAAGTCAGTGAGAATAGTAACACTAGAAAGTGCACAAATAGGTTCAGTGAATCAGTTTATAGCAAAAACAGCTTTTAAACCCTAAAAATTGAATGGGGATAAACATGAATTGATGCATATGAAGGAGGATATATATAGCATTTAATTTAGGGAATATGAAAATCCAAATTTAGATTCAAAAGCTATAACTGATACAATATTATGGGCTGACAAATGAACACAAAATCGGCCGACATAGTTAAACAAATATATGAATATAATAACTAGTAGTCTAGTACATTACTACATTATATGATTATGTATCCTGTTAGTGGTGAAATAATAACACTTGATGGAACAGTGAAACAGTTCAACTAAATAAAATTCCTATACATATAATTCTCGTTGATTTAGGCATTTAGCTAAAACAACGTATTTACTAAGTATATGTACCATAACATCTATATGACTACACCTATAATTTTCGTTGATTTAGCTATACCATTTCGTGTTTATACTAATTATATTTTTAACATGTAAATCTGTATGAGTTAATATGATAAGTGCATGAGCAAAATGGACTTTATTTTTTTGCTAAAGCAAATTGGACTTTATCCTAGGATATCAATGGTGTAGGAATAAAAATTAACTATCACACACAGAACTTATTTGAATAAATTATAGTCATAATGTTAGAAACAATTTAGATTTGCTATTACAAGAAACTAATACCACAAAATTATCAAACAAGTCTTAACAAACAGATATGGTTTTAAATATGAGTTGCCGCATATTTTCGTGCGGGTTTTAATCCTAGGAATACATAACATCTATACTTCAAAAACGTGATTTCAAGCAAAACGTTAGGTGATTCACCACCAATTAAGTAAAAAAAAAAAAAAAAAAAAACTGTCGATACGTTTGTTGCAGCATTAGAAGTAGTTCGTCCGAGTGGACAATCCATACAACAGAGTTAGTGAACTATTTCGTTTGTATCTAACCCCACTGGAGAAAAATATCAGAGAAAATCTTTCATTCAAACAATAAACTTTCTTGAATTTGGTTTAACCGTAAAATCCACCGCCTGAACCGCCACCGCCACCACCATAAACAACATTTGGCGGGTCGAGAATAGGCGCAGAGGCAGAAACTCCGTTATGGTTATTGGCTGCACCACCTAAATGCAAATCCGACATATTAGGAAAACCTTCTTTAGGTTCAAGCCCTTGATCGTACAAGAATCCTTTAAAGACATGGCCACCGATTTTCACCACCGCTTGGTACGCGTACTCGTCATCCCCGTCCTCAACTGCCGTTACTCTAACACACTTGAACACCGCCGCAGCCCTAACCTGCCCTGGCCATGCTTCCCTTGACCCTCCTCCATCTTGCATACATAAAACATAATTATGAATCCTTTTCACCATATCAATCTACATAAGAGTGTTTATTATCAAATAAATATGAGTGTTCAATACGGATAAACTAATCGGAACCAAACCGAAATAAGAGACGCTAAACTGACTAAAATTCTATAAGGTTACAACGATCTAATTTTTCCATAGCCCAAACCAAACCTCAAGCTGAACAAAAGACTGAACTTCAAAATTTCAGAAAATTATTGATAAATTTCTTCAACTAAAACCATATCAAACCCGATCAGTACTATACTACTATATAATGTTTTATTTTGGTTAGTCATTCAGATAACAAAAACCCCAAACTTTGATTGATCACCGTAAGGTCCGTAACGGCTATTAGTGTTATATGCATGTATGTACATACATAAAATCATGTGGATATATATAGATACTAATGAAAATGTAAAACTACCTTGTCGGCTGGAGCTGGTCTCGAAACTATGAGGAGGCGTGTTAGAAGTTGAAGTATGAGAAGTGGCTTGTTGAGACCCTACGATCCTCGGCTTCTTCGTCCCGGAGGAGGTCGACAGAGACGAGCCAGCCGTTGGATTGGCGCCGGTAGGCATGACCTGCCTCTCTCTCCGCCGAGCGGCAGAGACCCACGTGCTCTTCACGTGAGTAGAACAATCAAAGCCACGGCTCTTGCAGCACGTCCTGCACCGCCTCTGCTTACACTCTTTCTTCGCCTGATTTCCACAGTCTTGACACGTGGCGGTTCCCGATGCGCCTGAGCCAGACCCCGAGTTGTTCGAACTCGTTCCGACCGTTGTCTGGTTAGTACTCTTGAAGTGAAGATACTGCGTTTCGTGGTTGTTGTTGTTCTGCCATCTCCGGTTGTTTCCGAGGAAGTTAATGTCGGAGTCTTCCACGTTTTGCTGCGGTGGACCCGCCGTGAGTAGAGGAATCACACCGACACCGAGCGCCGCCGCAGCTGCATTACTGTTCATATGATCGGATCCAGATACAACTCCGGCGTTCTGGTGGTGATACGCCGGAGCAACAAGGAAGACGTCTCGTAGACCCACCATGCCCATCTCCGTCGCCGCCGCCGACGAAGGTAGGCCGTAACGGACAGAAGATCCAGGATGCCATGATGGAACGCCGGCGGCGACGGGAGCTGAGCCTATACCACCGTGGATGACGGAGGGACCAGCATTGAAACCAAGAGATAGATCCTCGGTGGTACGGGAAGGTGTCGTCGTCGTCGCCGCCCAGTCGGTGAACGCACCGGAATCCGACGTCGGTAGATTATGCCTCCTCGTTGTAGCCACAGCTGATTAAACCAAAACCCTAATCCCAAAAATAAAAATTATAGAAAAATAAAAGTCACAGCACACAGCTCCAATGCACATAACCCATAAATCTATACAAATCTGAGCTGATAGAGAAAGATGAAGATGGATCCTACAAATTTTTCCTATAAAACCAAAAACAAAATAGATTTTTCGAAATCTACTGTCACTATCTCTGCTCACGCAGAGGAAAAAGAACACTGCGACTCTTTTTTCGCTTCCTCTCTCTCTAACAATCTGACCCGTTTCCTACTTTCTCTCTCTAAAAAACTGGTTTTTTTTTCTTGGTGCTGTCTGATTTTGCTTCTAATCTTGGGTTTCTTCTGGATCTTTCTTCTTACCTCCTTTAAAAACAATAGTGGTTTATGTTTTGGTTGCTTGTTCTAGATTGTTTCGTCTTATTCCTGTCTCTCTCTAATAATCATCATGGACAACTGCAGAAAGAAAGATAGAGGCAAGTGAATTTTTGTTGGTTTAACCTTTTTTTAAAAAAAAACTTATTTTATGTTTCTTTTTTATAATAATAATAACTCAAAGAAATGGCACATGATACCTTCTTCTCTTTTTTTGGATTTTAGCTGAAGTGTAATTTTAACATAATCCCTTTATATATTTTCTATCAATCTTTATTAGATGACGAAGTTCATCACCACCACTCGTGCGCGTGGCTCACTTGCGCTTAAGAGCGGCTTCGCCGGTTAACTCTTGTAGGTCATGGTTCGGTACATACGCGTTTTGTACTTACCAGTCTAGTGGCCTACATCATAATATCCGAGATCCTTTAATTTGATACTTGGGGTTACCCTTTTTCTTGTCAACATCCTAATTCTTTTTATCTCAATATTAATTTTCATTTCCAATTATCATGCGTATATTTTTGCTTTTTAAAAAAACAATTTTAAAACTTTGAACATGTTTTTTAGATATTTGCCCATAATGATATAAACTGAAGATGTCTACAAATTTGATACGAAGATCAACAATCAACGGCGACAACAAAAAGATACTAGATGTATTTGGAAGTTATTATAAACTCAGCATATGTGAAATAACAAATTCAGATTTCGATCGAGGTCATGATTAACATTGTCATCAAATCTTAATCACACACATTTTGCTCTGTTATTGTTGTCATATATCATACTACAGAAAAACAGACAAAAACCGGTACATAAAAAACTGAGACCACATTTACGGTGATATAGCAGTTTTGTATTCATCCTTCCGACACTGTTGGATTGCTTAATGTCCATACATTACAAATAAGAAAAAAAAAATACTTTAAATGGTCCACATAAATGTGAAATGCTTCGGAGACCAAACAAAAGACCAATGAAAAGTCCAAATTAAAATCCAAAATATGGTTTACAGATAATACAATAAATGTTGAGTAGATTTAACATATACGAAGCAAAAAAAAAACATATACGAAGCAAACTTTGTTGTTTGATTCTATTAACATGAGACACGTTGATATATATGATATATCTTGGACTTTTGCCTTAGTGAATCTTTATAAATTTACACAAACGCCTAAGATTGCTTCCATAATATCCGGATTAACTTTCAGACAGAGCATATGTAAGCTGCACATACATAAAAATGTAGTACGTTTCAACGATAGTTTGACAAAAAAATGTACTGCGTGTCAGATTGTAGTTTTTACATAAAATAAGAAATGTAGTTAAAAACTTGTTTTAATATTGATGAATAACATAATCAGTTTTACCAAAATCATTCAAATTAAGTCTTTATGGGGGGGACATCTTAATTAGTTTGTATGCATATTTTTACCTAGTATAATTGCAATTATGTAAGAAAGTAGCTTTTATGTTTTATATGTAAAAGCTTTAAATGAGAATAATTAGTTTGAGCAATGCACGTGAAAGAACCCTTTCAATAAAATGTTCATCGGCCCCTCCCCACGCTTTGCGGCCGTCGAATCATTGCTTTTCTTCTGAGGTCTTTTTTTTTTTTGATAAATTTTCGTTTGAGATCTTTCGAGCCCGTTTGATCTTTGTGCTAATTTACGTTAACCCACTTTTTTTTATGCTCGTATGTTTTTACTTGATATTTTTTCGAAGACCTTTTTCTATAAATGAAATGATACTTGTATATCTAGACAATAATCCCAAGTTTTAAGTAATCATTGTGTTTAATCATTGATCAATAGTATGTGGCCTAATGGTTTATATAAATGGAGCATGTGGGTTAAAATTAGTTAAGTAGAGATCGAGTTCCACCAGCTACAAAAATCATTGCGGTGTTTTTTTTCACCACTATTAACACTTGAAATAACCGATTTTCTATGTATTCTGACTATTCTTTTGGGTTTCAACATGGAATATACCCCCAATTATATAAAGAAAATCCAAGTGATTATTGGAGTCTATGGTCCTCTTTCTCAATCTTAGTCGCTTGCTCAAAATTTGGGAATTAGCTTTTGTATAGGAGCTTATTAAGGTTCCAAATGGGGAGGGTGGTAACATAAAACAAGCAAATTAACGATTTTACGGAAGTACAAAAGTGTTAACATTCTCAAAAGGAAAAAAATAAAAGCATGTACCAGACCAGTAGATTTATGACAAAGCAAAAGAAAAGGAGCAGAAGGCACGGGGCTCGAGAGAAGAAAATGTTGGCAAAACCAAAAGGAAAAGAAAAACTATAATGGAGGCCTCGGAGACTTGTTGAGAGACAAAGACTAATGCTTCTTTGCCTAATCGGCGGAGGTGGCGTGCTGTCTCACTTCCCTCCGACATGCGTCGGCCACACGCGCCTAATTTCCCTATTTCTCTAGTTAAAGAAACGGACCCCAAATTGATCGGTTCGATTCATCGGTTTATTACGATATGGATATCTTAACGGTTTGGTTTTTGGTTTATGATAACGAGTAACTAAAAAAAGAAAAAAGAAAAAAAGAGAAAGCCGAGAAAGTAGTCTAGGTCAAGCTTTAGTTTTTTGGCTTCTCCTATTGATTCTCGTCTGATCGATAGCCTTGTGCAAGTGTCTAGTTTTTTAGCGGTTCGATCCGCGCTTTCCGCCACTAAGCCTCGAGGACTTTGCTCCTCTCACGGCTTAATTAATCGTCGCCAGTTTTCTAAGCTGACTAAAGATTCAATATTGCCAAAGTTTGAGTCTGAAAAAAAAAAAAAAAAAGTTTGAATCCGAATCTAAAAGTTCTCAGGTAACATATATAACCTAGTTCGCAATTTTTTTTGCTAGTGATTCGACAGAACCTTGAAACTCTGTGGTTTTGATATGCAAAAGAAGTTGCTGATTGCTTCCCAACTCTTCATCTTATTCCTTTTGAAGGCTGTTTCTGATTCCATTACCGAGATATAAGAAAAGTTAGATGGAAGGTCTGTGACCATCTATTTTTTCAACGCCTTGTAATAATGATTTTGATTTATGCATTCGGAACTAAGACCTCTCATTTGGAAAAGAGCCATTTTTGAAGAGTTTGAGAAGAAGTTTAAAGAGGTATAGCTCGTTCCTTTACTCTGAAATTTCATCTTACACTCTTCCCCTTGAAACTGCATAATGTGTTTTTTTTGGTGTTTCAGCGTTCTGATGCTACTGGCTACTGCTGCTGAATTTGAAACTGCTAGAAGACATTTTGTCATATTCGGATTACCTTTATTCATCTCGGCGTCATTAGCTGTGTCCGCCCTCCTTGTGCACGAGCTTGATTTAATGGAAGCCAGACATGCTCAGGAGAAGCTCTCTGCTCCAAATCAAATCAGTACATAACTTCTCATTTTTGCTTGAAAATCTCTCATTGTTCCATTTTTTACTAAAACATGTTCTAACATTTTCATTGAATTATTTATCCACCGCTCATTTTCTCACAACTATGCTGCTGACTTTGTTTATGTGTGGAATTGTGTTATAAGATTACTCACCCCCTCTTTTTTTTTTTTCTTCTCTTCTTCTTTTAGAGTGTACATGCATGTGTTCAACCAGATCACGTTAAGACCAGTTTAGCTCTAGCAACAGAGAGTTACTCGTTCGTTCCAATGTTAGAGTCACCTGAATTAACAATAAATAGGGATTGTTTTATTTTTTGTTGGTGATATAGAACATTTCAAAGTTGAAAAAGTAGCCAACATCATTGTGGTTGCAGGGTTACTACGTACAAAATGAAGAATAAGTCGTTTGTTGTTTTCTTTAATTTATCTTCTCTTTTAAAAAGACTACGACTATCAAACAAGCCAATGACATGTGACAAAGAGTTATATTAGTTGAATTTTCAAGCATGAACCATAATATCAAATGTACATGTTGGAGTACTTAACAAATTTATATATTAAACTTGTAGAATTACTCCCTAAACATTCAATTTGTCAACTTGTTTATGCAAGACTAAATCGTAACCAAACAAACTAACCACTCTAATTTACTTTTTTATCTTTTCACATTTTTTTCAATAAAATTACAACGGAAGAAATAAGAATAATTTGTTGAGAGCTAGCCAATCAATTCACTTCTTCTTGCCTCCGATTAAGACCGAAGAACCTTAATGGAGAAACCCTAATCTTATGCTCGGAGATCGTCTGCAAATTCGGTGACCACATGTGCTCTCGCGTTCCGACAAGCTGATCATACTGCTTCTTTAACTCGGGAGAATTACAAATCGCACTGTTTTCACCACAACTTGTGGTTTCTTCTTCTCTGATGTTTCTGTTTTTACATATAAGACTAATGATAAACTCCGGAGAAACTTTTATCAGAATCTTTCCGTTTGGTCCTTGAGTATACTCAAACGGTGGTGGACTGGACGGCCCCGTGAAATTCAACGGTGGAGTGTTTGACCGAACGTTTTCAAGATTAGAGTTGAAGATTGAGAGACACGAAGTGGTTAAGATTTTGTATTGAAAACGTTCGATCGGTAAGACAAAATAGGTTTGACCTGGGATTAGATAGTCGTCCATGGCTAGAGCTGGAACCTGACGACCGATGAAGAAAGAATCTGCATGGCACACAATTTGATCAGGAAACTCGAACATTATTTCTCCAGCAACATGTTTCTTGAAGCCACATAGGGTTTTGGTTGATCCATGCTCAAAGAAAACAAGCGTGACTATTCCTTGGCGTCTACGGATTATTGGAAAACAAGAATTGATTAGAAATCTTCCCATATTTTTCAGAGAGATCGAGATTTTGTTTTGAAGCTGGAAAG